GCTGGTGTATTTGTTGGTTGTTGCCGCATGGGTGTCAACCCATTCCAACACGGGCACGGATTAAGTCACGATGCCAAGGGACACACCTTTGTTTTCCCGAAGCGGTGTGTTTCAACTGTCCAAAGTTCACTGCAAGACTCAGGAAACCAAAAATATATGTTTCATTGTTCACTTCATTTGTACTCGGTGCAAGTCCAGAGCTATTGGTAATCAATCGTTGCAATGGCAAATCCGCCATTTATGGGTGATTTGCCCAGCTATAAACCTCCATTTTGTTCGGGGATGTCCCAGCTAGCCACCTTTCATGACACCGGAGGGTAAGCAGTTTCTGTTCCAACTTTACTCAACCAGTGCATATGTTTTCTGTTGAACCTCAGATTTGCCATCCACAGCATGTTCCGACATTAATGGTGTTTCAAGGGTACCTGTGGCAGCGTCACTCATCATGAGTCATATATCATTCATCATATATGTATATATATAGTATATTAGTGCATATTATAGGAGTATCACTATTAAAATATAGTGTATAACATTGTATAACGTAACATGCAACTTATTTAATATATATATATACACATATATTATCCTATATTTTATACAGTATATATATATGTGGCTATCATGTTCACTTGTTTGCAGTGGCTCCACCCCAAGGTCGATGCGGTCGATTCGCGGAAGGCCGGTCCCTTCGACAGTCTTCGACAGCCCGTGTGTTTCAAAAAGTGCTTGGTTGGTGATTCTCCTAATTCCCTGAAAAAAGATAGAAATTGGTAAAATCCGAAGCTAAAATCGTGATAATGATTCATATAACTTGTCTACCTTTTTCGAGGATTACGTAATAATGACTAATTACTTGTATGGTGAAATGACCCCCATAACCCTGATACGGTGGGATATAACTTGATATAACCACAAAAGGCCATATACCCACCCAAATACGTGGAACTGCATAGCCAAAATATGATGGTTTGACATCTTTTGACCATTTGATCAGATTGTCAACATGGATGTGCCGATGTGCCTTGACGATTCAAGGGAAAATCATGTTTGGGTCTTCTTTTGGTGTTTGATTTTCAGCTTGAATCTACAATCAATGGAAGTTCCAACGGAATAACCATCACATGTTCCACATATTCTTACAACTTAAAATCAAAATATAGAATATCAATAAAATAAGAGATAAATTTGATATCTGTTATTCTGACAACACATTTTTGATAACAGTGTCTAAGCATCACAAAGGTTATGGACAATGCAGTTCCACTTCTACAGTGCCTCGCAGGTGACTGTGCGGTACCGCAATGCACGACCAATCAGTGCAGGTGCGTTTTCTTCAGAGGGCTGGGATCGCACAGCCACATCTGACATGATTTTGGATGGTGATGTAAAAGTGGAGGCGCTTGCATGGTGTGTTAGCCATTTTGGATGACATGTTCTTTTAGCCATCTTTTTTTTACATGTAGCTATGGAAGCAATGGCCAATTGGCCCATAAATTTATGTGTGGTGTTTTTCCCATAATGTTAGATGTTCAACACATATTTTTCCCATAATGTTTATCCCATACTTTCAAATAGATATCAGGGTTGTCACATGATGTCCTGGGTCATTGGATCTGCATTTGAAGTCGCACTTCGCCCACTTCGCCATCCGGGGGCCCTGGGAAACTGCGACAGGAAGGAGCACTTAAAATATTCGGCAAGAGACAGGATGTCGGTGTTACCGTCATCAAATCAAACATGGCTTGCAGGAAAATCCATCACTTATCTGATCATTTTTCCAGCTAGAAACCTCCATTTATAGTTGATTTCCCAGCTGGTCATGTTTGAGTAACAGAGGCTGAGTATGTAGGGCTTAGGCAAATCAGCACGCCCGCCTATCATTATTTGGTTGGTTGGTGGTTTGAGAATGTTTGAGATGGTATGATGATCCCCGTTGACGAGCATATGCAGCATACCATTTAGGGGGTGGAAAGGAAGAACACCAATACCCATCTTCACTATTCCTTGAGGTAGAAATCCATCTTGGGTAAAATGACGGCATCCATCCTGCAGAGTAAGCCCACTGCATCGTTTGAGATTCCCACATGCCAAACTGTCACTGCAGGTTTGAACTACTTGGTTGTGCTGAGTGTCTACAACCCATCAGAGATCCTGAGTTGGGGATTCCAAGATATCGCTACAGCCATGGAGGGCTGTTTGTTGGGATGGTAAAAAAAAGTGACAGCGCTGGAAAGAAGAATTTTTTCACGGGTTGTTCCATGGATGTAAAAAACATCCAGTTAAACCTCAGAGATTGTGGATACCCTCTGGTAATTTAACGTAGCTATTGAAAATGGTGATTTATAGTGGATTTTCCCATTGAAAATGGTGATTTTCCATAGCTATGTTAGTTTACCAGAGGGTATCTTGCCTTCATGATGGAAGGCTTCTTTGTTGCTTCAAGCCCTTCTTTTTTGACATCGCAGGGAAGGTTTTTTTGAGCATGATGCATCAGAATGTTCGCTTCGGGCTTCTATCCCTTGGTGCTTCTCTGGTGTTTTCAAGTATATCTATGACTATGATAGTATGATCGTAGTTTTCCTATGCTTAGAAGAGGATCCCTATGATACTGAATTATACTGAATTTAGATATTGAGTTTATACCATTGATTTTCGGGGTGGGTCGAACCTACAGAAACTACTGTACCCTTCGGATCCCTATCGGGGGCCTTACTTAGGGGCATCCTTTAGGGTATCCAAGTGCAACTGCACTCACAGGAGCAGAAAGGAGTCAGCCTTGAAAAATTGGATGTATCGCTACTTGTAGACCCCAAGATTCCAAGATCCAGTGGTTCATGATCTTGCTGCCCCATGTCATCATGTAAAAAACTGTTTGCGGTGCAGTTCCAGTTAAAAAAGTAGACAGCCATAGCATGCCATAGTAAAAAAAAAAGGGGTCCCATATCCCGACGTATGAGGGTAATCCCATGGTTATATCCATCAATAACCATTATTCACCATTATGAACTATATGAATCAACTATTGTCAATCATTATTAACCATCAATACTCATTATTACAGTAACCATATTATTAACCATCTTAATAATCATATTATTAACCATACTATTCACCATTATTAGCCACTATGAACCATTAATGTTGAATCAATTTCAGCCAGTATTAAACCCTAAGCTCACATTCATGCGTTTTTTCCGAGGTTTCAACCCTACCACCTGGCAGATCTCCAGCTATGCCGAGCGGGGCCGAGCTGTGCGGATGTTTCATGTCGTGGCTGAAGCGGATGTTTTTTTAGCATGTTTAATCAATGGATTGGTTTAGGGGAAAATTTACAGGAAAGCCCCATATTTAATGGTAAAAACCATGGTTTCCTGTAATTTTTCCCTTAAACCAATCCATTGATTTAAGCAACAGAAACCCATGGATGTTTCATGATTTTACTATCAATGTCGACACTTTGGTGAAGAGCAGCTCAGTCGATGACCATTTTGCAGCACATGGGAATATCAAACATATCTATATATATATATTATACAGTATACATATCTGATATCAGCCATGTATTGCGGGGAGATGCTACCCAAGTTCTTATTTAAACGGACATTGGCATCCAAACCAAGTCCTGAGGACCAGTGTCTCAATCGTTTCTAGATGATTTGTTTCAATCGTTTTTTAGCTGTTCCACATGAATCTTATTTGATTTGTATGAACATTATCAAAAGACCGCGCACAGAATTTGATTCTGGGAACAGCTTTTCCAGGTCGCACATCAAGCATGCGCTATCCCACAACCAATCCAGAACCAGACGGATCAGAGCGCAGCGTTTTTGCCTCGAGGGAGCGAGGATCACCAAGTGGATACACGAACGGCACCTGTGAACGTGGTTGAAGTCCTAGACGAAGCCAGCTGACACATTTCACCTGCCAAACGTACAAATATGTATGACACTGAACGGAGGAGATTGTTTGACAGATTCAAGTGTTCCAACGTTCCAACTCTGACACGTGTTTTTGTTCCTAAAGAGTTTTCACCAGATTTTTTAATAGATTTAAGGCTTTATAGCAATAGCCAACCAGTTGTATCATACCTAGCACTTTCCCAGTTTTATTCGCCAGCCGCTACCATTCCCGGTTGCTGAGACCACCGAGCCCGGTGTGTTCTCAGCTTTTTCGGTCACCACGGACGCCATGGATTTGGTCGTGGAGGGGGATGCCACCGTGACTTGTCCCGCGCTTCGGGGGTTGCGCAAAAATGGGGGGATAGCCCAGAACCTGGTTGGCAGTTTAGAAATGGGGAAAATGATGAGAAACCATGGTTATGGCCCACAAGCTGAGGCCCTCCAGTTATAGGTTAACTAGACTTGGTTTATAAACCCATTAAGTCTAGTTATATCATGTTATATCCCTCAAAAATCCTAGGGAACCAAGATGAACCAAGCTAGACAAGTCCTTTTTCACCATCCATGAGACCTCACCTTGCACCACAACACAGATGACTTGAGCACCAGCTGGATCATCTTTCAACATGGGGGGACATATCTCAACATCTTGGAATCTCCTCCCTTCGATATTCAAACTCTCCCGGGTTAAACCCTGGTGGTTGTTTAGTCATATTTGGTACTGGAATGTATGGATCAAACAATATCAAACATGTCCATATCTCCATCCATTTTGAGGTCCCATTATACAGGAAACCTCTTTGGAACACGTTGATTTTTTATGATTCTTTCGGGACTAGCCACAGCCTATGAATGGAAACGATAAAGATCAAATAACCCAATAGGTTTGGAGTTGAACATGGACGCAGATTGTGTTCAAAGAGTACCCTCTGGCAAACATGGCTAGCTGGAAAGTCACCTATTGCCATCTTTGATGAGGATATTCCGATGATATTCCAAGTGGATCCATGGATTTTCCCCTTAAAAAGGGCCATCCCACCATCCCACGCTTCCAGCGAAACTTCGTATGCCATCGTCCAGGTCTGTGTGGCAGTCCGCATGCGGCCCATGTCCGCCAAAGAGTTGCGGGAGGGCGGCGAGGTCTGCGTGGACGTCATCGGGCCGAAAGCCGAGGCGGAATCCGCCAGAAGCCATTGGGGACGTGATGGGAAACATGGGACCAGGATGGACCAGGGACTTTTATAATTGGCTTTAGTAGGATGAATAGGAATTTGATGCGGATCTTTAAAAATGGCTATCTAGATTTTCACTAAGAACAACAGGGTACGGAATTTGCAAAGAAGAAGGGGATATACCCCATGCACTGATATACCCAGCAAACTTGAGCACATCACCAACCAAACATCAGGCATCATGACTGCCAAATTGGAAGAGCAAACAATGTAGTATAATGATTCCAGTAGATTCATGATGATCATTTGGGGGGCCCTGTCTCTAAAAATTATTGACTGTCTATCATTTTCGGGTATCATCGGCATCGTCCGATCATGTGCTTTTCCGTTTCATGCGCCGGTGGAACCCCACAATCATAGACAAACAAGTTCTAAAACATTCTAAAACCGGTTTATACAAACTGGTTAGTACAATAGATTTTATATGGAATTTGCTGGTTTATTTCCCTCTATTTTTGAACAAACAAGTTCTGGTGACAATAAGATACAATAAGTATAAGATATCATCACCAGTTCAGCGTTGTGCGTTACTGAACACGAGTCAAAACTGAATAACGGAGATGACCTTTCGCTCAACATCTCTCAACCATGACATGCTGAAGGGATTTCACACACACAATCATAGGCTCCGTAGTACGTAGTGTTTCTGTGAACCCAACAAACGTAGCAGGACAGCTCAGAATGACATGCTGCAACTGCCACAGCACGGCCTTTCAGAGTGCACTGCTGTAGGTGGTTCTACAACGTGAAGGTTTCCAAGACAAATCCTTTACCTTTGACCATGCATTTGGTTTCTCCATTCGAGGATGGGAAGGAGGAGCCATCAAGACATGATTCCATGATATTCCGCGGAATGTTCAAATTTAGAGCGACTTCATAGCCGATCTCACCAATGACGCTTATTGTCGGGGAAAAGCATCAAGCATTGCCTTTGAATAGGCTTGGATCTTGGGTTTTGTTGTAAATTGTCACGATTTCATGTTCTTCGCCCCGTTTTTGAATTCGGGGTTTCGGGGTGACTGCAGCTTGCAGATCCAGAGGAATCTGCAAAATACATACTTATGCTGCATACGTGAGGTCTCGGAGAGATGTAGGGATGAACCTTTACTCGTACCAGACAAATCTCTATTTATATATATATATATATACATTAGTAGTGTATTTTAATATTATATATTAATATTGTATATTGATATTGTATTTGTATATAGCTGTGATACATAGGAGAAATAGACTTAGACAATCTATTGTGAACATGCCCTTCCCATTGGTTGAGTCGCCGCTTCTCATGCAACAAAAAACCATAGCTGCTAAGGTTCAGACTCAAGTCAAGTACAAGTCTTCAGATCTTTGGGCATCCAATTGCTGGACAAAGCCTTCTCAGGACGATTTTTTCGAGACGTCACTGTCATTGGAACTCGGTGATTTTACCATCCAACTGTTGGTATACAACCAGGGCATGAACCCGGCATAGGCATAGGGTGCTTGGTTTGCGGTGATTTGTGCATGCTTTTTGTGCAGGGCTTTGTCGATATGAGCATGTTCTGTGCCATCATGTATCATGATGGTCAGTCAGGATACAACGCCACCATCTTTGCCTATGGCCAAACCGGGTCCGGCAAGACCCACACCATGATGTCACTTGGCGATGGGCGATGTCTATGGCGTCCATCAATGTTTTATGGGTAGTTCAACTTTCTGTATTAGATACATATCCTACTAGGTAAAGGTACCAGTCACCTTGTCAACATAGAGATATTCGCTCTATAAAAACACGGCTGAGGCGACGAAAAATAGATATGAGCTTCGACTTGAGAAAGATTATATACATACATCTTGACGAGTTCCAGTGACCTCACTGCGTCACTGGAATGATGGGTACTGAGCAGGGGTAAAAAAATCCCGTTTGATTGATCAATATTGCCTTAATTCAGGTGAGTGAGCCACTATATTTCATCACATATCATCTGAAACACGTATAATGATCGCATATAATGATTACTTAATGATCTGGATCATTTTCATTGATATTAGATATATGTGGTCGTTAATTCCTTGAATCCAGATCAAAGATGTCCGCATTTTCTATGTTACTCACCGGTGATTCATCTGAATCAGCTTCTGGGCTTCAGACTGGGCAATTTCATTCCAAGATAGCTCAAACACCGCCTCCCAGCCGACGTACCGAATTTCTTTGGCTTGTCTATGCAAAATCCTAAATAAATGGCTCGGTGCGTCTTGAATCAAGCAGGATCTTTTCGACACTATGTTACAGGGCTTACAATGATTTTCCCAATGAAATTGGCCTCGAAGTGGGCTCTGGCCCATTTTCAGACAACATTTCTTTGGTCATGTCCCCAACTACGACGGAAGCTGTGCAGTCGCCACGTTCCACTACGTTCCACTCAGGGCAGATCGCAATACCGGCGAAGATGCGGGGCTGATTCCCAGGCAGGTTGTTGCAGGATGATGCTTTTTGATTCGATGTGTTTACCTAGACATACCTAGAGCATCCAAAATGGGATGACACATCAATTTTATGTGTACCTTGAAGGGTCGAGGTAGGGTGATGTTAGACACCCCACTAGAAGTTGTCGAAGTCCGGATTTATGGTTCTTGGGGTGGCCGCTCGCGCGCGCGATTGTCTACCCAGTCCTTGGGGTATGGTCATCAATCCATTCATCAGGATTTTCTATACCCATTCCAAAGGACTCCCATGGCATGGGATGGACGAGCATATATATATTATAATCTACCATGTTTTGACCCTAGCATTAATCTGTTTTAAGCATTTTTAAGCAACATACCAAGTAATTTTGGTTGGTGTCATCCATCAACAAGGCATCATCCAGATGACAAGCTGCGTCCGCTGCAGGATTTCCGAGGGGCTCTTTGACCGTGGCGTGTCAAAAGATCTGTATGGAGTTATGGAGTATCGGGAATCCAACCTCGCAATGACCACTGAAACATCTGATGAGAACAATATATAATATTGAGATATAATCGCCATAGATCAATAGCTATTTAAGCGCATGTTTTAGGGGGATGAAATGGGATGAATATCGTTCAAAATCCCAATGATTTTGATGTTTTCACAGAAGGGGTTTTCCAGGTTTTGACCCATCTCCATATATAATGAAATATAGTACCCTCTGGTTATTTAACATAGCCATGGGAAATGGCCCATAGAAATAGATGGTTTACCTATTAATAGCATGGTGATTTTCCATGGCTATGTTAAATAACCAGAGGGTATTTTGTTTACTGCAAATACATTCATATCCCATTGTCCCATTAGTTTTTTGGGTTTTTTTTAAAAAAAACTCATGTGCGCAGTGTTCAAAACCTCGGGTGGTGGATGATTTTTATGGGATGATACTATCCACAAATCTACTGTTTCACCAATATTTCTAATGGGGAACATCACAATCCATTGGTCCGTGATTCATCCCGTTCTCAACTAAGGCTATACCAGGATATACTAGGATCAAAAGTGACAAAAAATCCAGCCAGGTTTTTTTATTGCCGGAGAGCACATGGTGTGACCACAAGCGGTTGCCAAAAATGGCACAGCAAACTGCTCATGATATCTCTTGATGACCAAACTTTGGCAGTTCGGCGGTGTTGATATGTGGAGGAAGTTGTGCTTAGTGTTGACGTCCATCCATGTAGCATATCTGAAAAATGGTTGGTGGTTTCAAACATGAATTTTATGTTCCATCATATGGCTGGGATGTCATCCTTCCCATTGACGAACTTAGAATAACTTAGATTTTTCACGATGGTTATTGCACCACCAACCAGTTATATATTTGGACATCTGGGGTGCAACATGTTTGTGAAGATCTCCCAGCTTGCAGACCGGTGATGACTTGGGTTATACTGCAGGGTACCGGCGCAGATTCTGTACCCGATGGTGATCTCTTTGATTGTGGCTACCTAGTTGGTCAAGAAAAAGGGTGCTGGACATTGCCAGTGACAAGTTATTTTCTTCTTCCACATGGAACATGTCCCATGTGTATATATATATATAATTATATATATACACAGTGTATGTATACATCCATTCATATAGGATGATTTTAGAATGTGTTTTGCATTGAATCATATGATACAAATAATCAAAAGCCCAACTCTCGCAGTACTTACCATAGGGAAACGATTCATTTTCCATTTTCCACGTTTCGACCAACACCGCCGAACACAGGAACCACCAAATTGGCGTCTCCCAGCCGGAAGCCCCTTGGAGATGGAAGGGTTGGAGGCAGAACAGTTGTGATTTTCATTGTTTTTATGAGTTTTTTTTTATATGGTATGTCCATTAATATCCAATATTTCATGGGGGTTAGCGAAAAAAATGTGATTTTGAGTATATGAATGGTATTCTAATGGGATTTAATAGAAAAATATAGAAAATACAAGCAACAAAAATGGCCCCCAAGATAGCTAACTTGGTCTACAACTACAATAACTGTGGGGTTAATGGGGAATGCAAAAGATATATCTATAGTTAGGTGAGATTATAAACCAACTTAGAACTAGAGGTCCCCACATCCCACTTTGTTTGATTGAAACAGGGTACCAGGGTAACTTTTACCATGGAAATTTGGGAGGGAATCTATGATCTATGCTTGTTAGATTGCTGATTGGTGGGAAAATCCATTCTGGGTGTGTTTGAACATGGGGGATAAAAACCTCCAAAAGTTGTGCGTTTGATAGGGACTTAAGTATGATTGACCAGAGGATTTTTAGAGGTTCGCTCATTCCGGGCAACCTCTAATCCGCAGTCGCAAAAAGAATGTGGCAAAACACCAGACCTAATTTTAGGATGAATTCCATAGAAAATGTCTGGCATTTTCTGGCTATCTTCAAGAGGAAACGAATCTGAAAAAACACCCCCAAAAGATTTGGGTGCAGATGCACCAGGTGAGCTTCCAGGGCCCAAAGAGTTGGATGGTTTTAGATCGGATCCCGAGGTTTCTGATCTGTTGTTCTTTCCTGGAGATCTACAACGAGCAACTGGGCGCAAACCGTTGCCTTGAGATGTGGCTGAAATGCATGGTGAAAACACCAGGGAATGGTTGATGGCTCTTTGTTTCTCCGTTGGTTTTCATGGGAGAAATACAAAAAATGTATTGAAAGATCTAAAAACAAATAAAAAACATTTATATCCCACTAGCGACTTACTTTCTTCGGGGATGATCAGATGATCATCTCCACATCGGGAAAAAAATCCACCGTTGATGGGTACAGCCAAAATTGATTTGTTTTCAGCCATTCAACTGTAGATATATCCAGGCAAAATGTGCGTCATATAATATTATGTATATATATAACTTTCTATAGCTATCTACTAGTGTAACTATTGGGGTTTTTAAGCCAACGGATAAACACAGTATAAATCATAAACTGTTCTGCAAGGGTGCTCCAAATTGCTGATCCTTCACATTCTCTGCACAGGATCGTCTTCGATCTGTTACAACCCAAAGGCCGGCATGGCGATGGAATGGGAAATGGGCCGGAAATGGGAACGTTTTTTGGGATGGCGTACATCGTCAACCAGACGAAACATGAAAGATCTCATAAACCCTATCCTGAGCCAGGAAACCTGAAAGTTAATGTGAGAGTCAGGGCAATGTGTTGACAGTGTTGGCCCCGAATCCTGTGCAGATGTAGATTCTGTTTGCAACAAGCTTGTGGCAAGCATTACTGCGTCATTTACAGTCTCTAGATTCGGTGGATGTGAGTCAGAAACATTTACTGTATTTACCATCTGGGTATGACTAACAGTTCGCCATGGAAAGATCCACCATGCTACTAAGAACGGTAAACCGTCTATTTCGATTAGGCCCATGGCTTAACCATGGCGAACTGTAGCAAATCACCAGAGGCCCAGAGGCTACATCTTGCAGCCAGTTGAGTTCTCTGACGACTCTGACTCACCATGACTCACCGCAGTTTTCATAAGTTTTCCCAGCCACAGGTACTGCCATGCCAGCGGGTGGACTCGAGATTCGAGAAGCCAAGGGTATGGGAGTTTATGTCAAGGCCGGTTGTCCCGTCTCCTGGGGTCACTGAAAAAAATGAGGCCTTCGTGGCCCATTTTTAAATTTCCATATCTGTGGTCACTGAAATTGAAACAATAGATGTGAGTTTCTCCTTGAAATAGTAGGGGTAAATGGACAAAACATGATAAAACATGATAAAACATGATAAAACCATCTTATAATTTCTCATATTTGCCTCATGTTTCAGTCTTTTTTTTTGTCAAAGAGTTGCGACGACCTGCCCCCTTCCCGAAATCGAGGACTTGCAGGAGATCGTGGTGGACACCGCAGAGCGATTACAGCATTTGATCAACAAAGGTCCCATGGCATGAACCAATCAGAAAAACCACCTGAGAATTTGGGCGGATAGGTTGGGGAAAGATGCCTCCGTTGTTTTCTTCAAAAATATGGAGATTGCACAGTTTGCTATGGACAATGGCCCATTTAGTTCGATGATTTCCCTAAAAATGATGATTTTCCACAGCCATGTTAACCAGGGGATACCCAGCAAAGAAACACAAAAGAATGTCGTTCATCATGACCAAAGTGTTTGAGATCACTTAACCCAGGTTGTGATTGTGATGTTTGATGCTCCTAACCCTCACAGAATGGCGATTCTTGCTGCACAAGTGGCGATGATTTGCATGGCCGTGATGTATCCGGTCCAAATTGGGATTGATAAAGACACCAACTGGTTGGTGGTTTGGAACGTTTGGATTATTTTTCCATCTACTTGGGAATGTCATCATCCCAACTGACGAACTCATATTTTTCAGAGGGGTAGGTATACCACCAACCAGTTCCGATTGATTTGTTCAAAACACATCGAGACACATCGAGACAGATTGGGATGCACCATTGGTGACAGTTTCTGTTTCTACTTCACCATTCAATTTTTGTGTGCAATGTCACTTCACTATGGCCAAGTACTGGCTCTGGCTGCAGATGGTGTTAGATTTGAAGAGTCAGTGTAATCCATTCTCTAGTTGTGGTATTCATCATTGAACCTTGAGATAGGGAATTGGTAAGCGAGTGGGAAGTGTAAACATGTATATATATAATATATAAATAAGTGCCAATGGCAAGGTCAATAAAGATGCAACACATGTTCCCAGGACATGGTTTTTTTGCAGATTGAAGGATCCATTTTTCTTCTCCAATGGAAAGCTAACAAGACCTGCAAAGAAGGCAGGTTCCGGGATTCACCATGAAGCAAGCTGTAGAGAATGATACCACTGTTGAACCAACATCTATTACATGCTGTAAAAAAAAGAATAACCAATTATGCACTGTAAGTCTCTGTAAGTATCTACATTATATAAAGTATATATATATATATAGTTTATATATATATGATTATGTATATATATACACATATTTATACATGCAGCATACATATGTTTTTTCTAGTTTAGATTCGTTGTGCCAGGCTTTGCTCATCGGGCCACAGCTGCGACGCAGATGAATGCCACTAGCAGCCGGTCGCACTGCATTTTCACCATCAAACTCCATCAGAAGGACTGCCTTGGTGGCCAGTAACATACTGGTCGCAATGCTATGGTTAGGTGAAGTCAGGTGCATCACTGGTGATTTTTTGTTCATGGCAAACTATTGAATCGCCTTTTTGGGAATGCACTGGGGGACAAGGAAAAACAATTTTCATTGAAGAATGAAGTCGCTTACGCAATGCAAGTTAGAATATGTTAAGCCAATTACGGAATATCTCACCGGTTTCAAGTTGGTGCATCCAGTGCATCCCATTTGGGCCGGAGGGGAAGTAGTTTTCAGTGATGTTAAGTGGTTAGCAGCGGGGTTATAATCAACTATATTCTGATGTGGCTGTGTCTGAAACTGGTGTATACTGAAATATATGGAATTTTAGTGGGGAAATGAACATATGCCATCAAAATTGGTGATACCCTGTTTTCAGACAAACTCATATGTACCCAAGTATAAGGGGATATAAGATAAGCAAGTTACTAATCAGTGAGCTAATTCCATGGCCCACCTAAGGAGGCATTTCAATGTGTCAGCATATAACAAAAAAACTGTTGGATTGATGGAATATCCCATTCACTTGGTGGTGCAGTACTTGGCAAAGTTGGTTAATATCAAGGTCTGTTCAAGAAGGATATGTCATGATATATCTATATTATCTAAATTGTTTTCTTAAAACCAGCTGACAATTAGGAGCATCAGGAAGGTGGGCAGAGATTGGGGATCCTTGGGGTTTGTTGGAGATGGGATGGGATGCTAGATGAGTGTATATGCTCAAGCGACCTATAGCGACCTTGGGGAACTAAAAGTTATGGCATTTGCGGTACATACCACTTAATACTACCCAGGTCAGAAGTTTGGAAATGTATCTCTGTAACAAGATTGATGGGGTTACAAGCAACACCATCATGCCATCATGGGTGCTTTTCTGGAAATGTTGGGAGCTCAATCACAATGAGATGCAAGATCAGATAACAATAAAATGCAGGCTGACCGAAGTCGTATAAGCGTATACGTAAACCATGTAATTCAATAGAGAAACCCTGGCTGGTGGGTTTTCCCGAACTTAACACCATCCACATGATGCTTGCCTCAATCTGCCGCTGAGGGAACGCGCTCTGGGGTTGAAGAAATCTTCTAGGTTGCTAGCAAGGCCACTCACTATTTGCTAAATAGATGCACTTTGTGCTTTATTTTGGGTAGTCTAACTTTTGGCACTGAAGAGTTCATAGCAAGATGGAAATTTTTCGCTGGTGGGACGCCTTCAGCGTTCCATTTTCGCTGAGGTTTGAGAGATTTTTTCTGGCAAATCGCAGGGATCTGAAACAGAGGTAGCTGCGTAGCTCACAGATGACATGGTCAATTGCCTTGTTTTACCATGTATTTTGACCATGTCAATGGTAATTTACCATGGTAAAACTAGGAATTTATCAACATTGTTTTACCATTTTTTGGTCAATTTGATAGAGAAGGACTCCCAAAAAATGGTAAAATAATGTGAATGACAGTTCCCTCTGCAAAGAGTTTTGCCTCTGGTACCATAATCTATGCAGATGTTGACGTGACCGCTGCATCATGTTGGGTTGTTTTGTTTGCAGTGGTCTAGAACAGTCTCGACTTGTGGAAGGTTGGACTCGTGTTGAGCGATGGAATCCGCGATAAAGGATTTGGCGCAAGTTCAGCACGGGTTTCAATACGGTGTCAAGAATGCTCCCCTTTGGTATCCAATCCAGCAATGGAAAAAAAACATATTGATACTGTACCCAGTCATCTTGATATTCAGTAGATTGTTTGGTTTAAACATTTCAGGATGTTTCCTGAAATGGGGGTACCCCCAAATCATCTATTTAATGGAATTGTCCAGTATAAACCATCCATCTTTTGATATCCGCATTTATGGAAAGCCCCATATAGGATATCCCCGCCATCATTGGTGCAGGACGATCATGTGAGCTCCTTGGCGCATCTGAGGTACGGAGAGCTCTTTTGTTTCAAGTGTTGGTGGGTTGGTGAAGTTCTACGTAAGGGTAACCCAATGGTAAACTAACAAAAAGCTATGGAAAATCAGCACTTATAATAGGTCAATCCCCTATTTCGATGGGCCATTTTCACTAGCAAACTGTTAAATGACCAGAGGATAACCCAATGGTAACGCCACGTATACAGATTGGTCAAATGGGTCAATAGTTCCTTCGGAGACTTAGCATCACCGGGGATGGACCATCCGTTTAGCAACAAAAAATGATGTTCACCAGGGCGCCAGCATGATCCGAAGCTGGTTGGTGGTTTGGAACATACTTGTTTCCATATATTGGGAATAATCATCATCCCAACTGACGAACTCATATTTTTCAGAGGGGTTGAAACTACCAACCAGGAAGTTCTTTTTCCAAATCTCATGAATTTGGAGACCGACCTAGAGGATTTTACTGCCTTGATGGGCAGATCCAGACTGAAACTTAGATGCTTCAGGCGCCAACAACAACTTCTCGAAGATGAATTTGGTGTCTCGGCACCGGTGTGGTGAATCTCTGACTCAGGAGGAATCTGAATTGGGACCACATGGAACAAAGAACCAATCCTAACTGACCTATGCGGACCTAATCATAGGGCTTTTATAAATCGGCTGGTCACAATGTTGGTCTGGTGTCCCCCATTTTCAGACACAGAAAACATATTGTTCAAGTTTGCCCTATTTTTGGTTTCAATATGTTTTTCCAGTTGAAAATGGTCAGTTTCCATATTTGGAAAAATGTGTCTCATACCTGTCTCTTTTTGCAGGTTTTATGTTTCATATTTCCAGGTTCAAAGCACTATTTTTTGGTGAACCCACTTCCCCAACTAGCGTATATGAATCAGGCACTTTCAACCAACTATATGGGGCACCATTGTACAATAGGGTAAACTAACATAGACGTGAAAAAACGATGGTTGCATTAGGGGTTGTCCACATCGATGTCGGTTTGCAGGAGGGTAATCCCATCGTCCCATTTAGATTCACATTATAATCCCCTGATATTCCCATCAATGGTGTAAGAATGACACTCAATTAGTGCCCTCTGGTAAACTATCATAGCTATGGACAATCACCATGTCTAATAAGTAAATCAACTAGAAATGGTCATGTTCAATATCAAACTGTTAAATGACCAGAGGGTACTATTTATTATTTTCAATAGTAAATTTTCGAAAAACCACAATCCCATACCAATCTCCTATATAACAATCCCATAAAAACCCATAAGTGGTATCCCAAACCACCTTCCAGAAACCATCTAAGCCCATCAAATATCAATCATCATTAAATCACCATTTTTCTTAGTTTACCAGAGGGTATCAATCCTATCGTTCACCAGGTGGACTTGGCAGGCTCCGAGCGCGCCTCGCGCACCGGCGCGGAGGGCTCCACCCTGAAGCTGGTCGATGTTGGGTTAACAAGGAGGAACGAGGCTGGTGAGTTGATAGATAGTAATATATATATTATATTATATCATATGGGATAGAAAAAAACCATCATTTCTATGAAATATCTATGGAATTGCTCATAGTTTGTATAGATATCAATGGGATTCTTGAATGAGATTTCTTGTAGAATCTTGTAGATATCGTTGGGATATTGATGGAGATGTTAATGGGATTTAGCCAACAAAGGTTTAAAAAAAACGGAAATCGGTTCAGGCGATCTGCATACGAAAATGGAATGAATGTGTTTTTGTTGTAATTGTAGTGGTATTTCATTGTTTTGGAATCTGTTTGAAGCCACCAAAAAGTTGCGTTTTTATTGGTTCGTAATATGGGTTTGTTTGAAAATCAGGTACACGTTTTTTTTGGGGGGCACCCATGAGTTCACATCCCGAATCAGGATTGAAGGCCACCAGAAATGGCCTGGGAAACCACAGGAGATCAGGGGATGATTTTTAGGGCTTTGGACATTGTAAAGGTAGGAATTTGACCATGAAAAAAAGATCGGATTTGACATACCAAAAGCAGATTACTGTGACATAATATAGAGGGATTGTAGCCAGAAGATGGAAATGTATGGAAAATGGTGAAGTGTATGAAGCAGGGGATTTTTTTTGGCACAACCACTGACGATATCCCCAAGATTTCGGAGGTTGATCATCCCGTTGGCTGTTTGCCGAGAAAATTCCAAGGAAGGAGGGTGCGAACATCAACAAGAGCCTGTCTGCTTTGGGGAACGTCTGGGCGCCAAGGGATGCAGATCGGGCAGACGCTCGAAGATGGTGATGATTCACCAGTCGATGGAATGGGTGTGGTACCGTAGTTTGACTTCAATCCTGAAACGAACATGAGTCAAGTCAATATTGGGTTCGAAAAAACGGAATTATTTCAGAGAAATATGCAAAATCTCCAGTTCAAAAGATGTAAGTCCAGGCAAATTGTAGTTATTTGGTAGAGAATCTACTCCAAAATGACTGTGCCTATTGTTGTTCTTGTTTTCCCAGATTTTGTCAATGCCGTATATCTATATCTATGTTTATCTGAATCATTGTGAATCTATAATTCTATAGAGTTTTTTCGTGGAATTGTTTATCTATGGTTTAATTATCTATATATATATATATTTATATTATCTATATATTTTTTCGTCGATCTGTTTTTGTTTATCTATATATATATATACATATGTATTAATACGTATATCATCCGATCAACAAAAACAGATTCTGCGATATCTCCCTGGTTGGAGCACCGGCCTGAGGTGATCAATTCCTTGAGCAAATTGGCGGCTGGAAATAAGAAGGTCTTCATCCCCTATCGTTCCTTGGTCAACGGGGCTTGTTTTAAACAGAAATCTGCTTGAAATCCATTGAAATTCCGGGTTTTAGGCTATGTTAGTCTCATTGAAATTGGGGGAAGTAGAAGAAATGTTGGCAATATAAGGGATATTTTGGCTTTTTTAATCATGACAACAAGACCACTTTTCAATGAAATGTGTTCGCAGAGGCCGCGCAGCCCGTTTCAAAAACTCTGCAAGTCCGAGTCCTTCACCCACAATTTTTCGACCTTTTTGCAGGTTGTGGCATGGTATCCACCCACAGCCCATCTGGAATCTGGAATCGTCCATTAAAAAGTGATGGTTCATAGTGGTTAATGTATGTTAATGTGGTATAACCCAACAACAATGGGAATCTAGAATTCAAGCTGTAACATGGAATCCAGGCCAAAAAACAGCCAGGCAAATCGGGCTGTTGGCAACTTGGTTTTTTCCCATTTGATTGGTCCAATTTTGTCACCAAGGAAACTCCAAACTGACACGAGTGCTTCAGGAGTCCGGGTGGCATGATTCTCCCTGCATAAAATGGGTGGTTTAATGGCATTTTTTACCGGAACATGACCGGGATGATCATCCCAAAAAATGGATAGGATATTCATCATGAGATATGAATGGGATACGAATCATGTCTATGGAGGACATGATTCCATATAATTCAAAATAATTCCAGATAATTCCATGGAATTATATGTCTTTATTTTCTAAATTCTAAAGAGTCTAGTTCCAAATAAGTCCAAATAATCCATGAATCTAATTCCATCTCATTATTCCATCCAATCAGGAGTGAACGTGGGATTGATATTCTAATGTGTCTGAACATGGGGTACATATCCCCACATGGAAACTATAATAGGGACAATGATGATTAAACAGTGGATGGAACGGGGCACTTTATTTTCAGACAAGTTGAAGATGATTGTGTTGTTTTCTCTTGATAGTGGTTTAGTCCCTTAAGTGATGTTTAAAGCGAATAATCACATCTGAACATTATCTGCTCTCTGTGTTCTGGTTGAAGCATCCTGAAGTTGATGAAGTGGAAGTGGCAAACTGACAGTAAACTCACTAGAACATCAACCACATCTATTGCCGGCCAGAAACCACTATGTTGGTTCCAGGCCTCTCTATCCATTGAGTCACACAAGCCAGTTGTGAAGCCGCCAACGTAGCATTTTTGTTTGAATTGGTCTAGTTTCACCCAATTCCATTTCTAGATTTTGCCACCATAAACCCATTCCTTATTGTTATTTGTAGGCATACCAGCAGAAACCTATTTGTTGGGGGCCCACAAATGATTGTCATTAATATTGACCAATATATATATATATACATATATATATATATGCAAATTGACCATGATGTTGGATATATAGTATTCCTCTTATTCCATGTTTGTACCATGTGATTCTAATGTTTACCAGTGTATTCCACTTTTACCAGTATATACCGAATATATACGCAATATGTACCCACTATATGCCCACATTGTATATACCTATTCTACTTTCTGGTTGTCAATCCATTGATACTTGTAGGGATTACATTGTGAGGAATCCCATTGTGGGATGGATTGCCATACCACATATTTATGTTGGTGTCCAAGACCATCTAACTTTTGGATCTTATAGTCAAATCACCATAGATCCTCTTATTATATTAGTGAGGTAAACCAACTAAGCCAAGTTGGCTACAACCCACTATAATCCAAGATATAATGCTAGGTGATTGTTAAATTCAGGTGATTATAGCTATTAGTTAGCTACAACATCCAGCTATAATCCAAGTATTATCCAAATACCAATAAACACCATTTAGCTATAATCCAATAATTATAAGGGTGTTTGCAAACTCACTGATTCACCAGCTATAAAGCCTTAATATTTATCAATTCCGAGGGTCGCACCAGCTTGGTTAATACTTATAGCAACTATATATTGTACTAATATTTAGACCAAGCGGGTTATACCAAGTAGCCAATTATTCGGCAATCACCCAGGTGATTATAAGGGCTACTATAAGGGTATAGTAACCATATATAGTAACCATAAATAACCTAGTGATTAACCAGCTATAAGCCTATAATATATAATGCTAGTAAAGCAATGTCGTAAACCAGCCCTAAATGGATGGTTTATACCCTCATTTATGGTATATGTATGTATATATGTATGGTATAGAATTCAATTTGGGCATGATGTTTACATTTGTAAAAACTCAGCACGAAGCAACGACCGTAGCAGCTGCCATTTTACTTACTTTAGGAGTCGCTGGGTGGCAATGCGCTCACCACCATGATGGCGGCCATCTCCCCAGCAAAGACCAACTGTGCCTTCGCGGTTTTTTTCAGACCTGGGATAGGGATGAGCTTCGTGGGACATGGGAAATAGTCGAATGGGGATTTCCAAAGTCATGGGGGGATCCCCAGGCTCGCTGGTGAATATTTCGTGGAACATCCTTTTTACAAAAATGAATGATTTCTAGGGGTACCCCCATTTCAGGAAACCTCCATATGGATGATATAGACATATAATGACATATATAGACATATACTTAGTGGCTATTTGTAGATGTGTCATTCAACCTTTGATCCCAAAGATATTGGGAAATGTTGCTGGCATTTAGAATCATCTAGCACTTGAACATATCGCGATGGCGACAGCGAAATGGAGTAGCAATGCACCCACCAATAGATGGTCGTTTGCAGGACGTTCCTAGGGATCGGCCACAGCCAAAGGCTTTTTTGAACATGGTTAAACAGGCAAGGACAGTCGTGCAATGAAGAATCAAGAACACTTCCAAAGATGGGATCATAGTTCTACGATTCATATGATCCATATGAATCCATATGATAAGATATCCGGATTCAAGATACATTTTTTTAAATGAGATCTCTGGATTATTTGGGTTATGTTGGGTTATGTTCCCTGAAGTTTGAGCATTTTCGCCCACCACATGCGGCCGATTTGCTACCTCCATCTTCAGTGCTTCGGTTCGTGATCAGGTCACTATAGTCACTACCCTCTGGTAAATTAACATAGACCCTGGCAGATAGGGGTTGGAAGACTAGTGTCCATTAAAAAATATCAACCGTTTGTGATTTTCAGGGTCTATGTTAATTTACCAGGGGGTAGTTGAGATCTCATACAACCAGAAGACAGAAGACATGTTGTGTTAGTGGTTTCGAGATGGGAGATGGTCCAGCTACATTGGACCTGGAGTTTTGAAGCTTCCAACAATTCTGCTAGTTGTGCCACAAGAAGCAAGATCAAGAAGGGCGAGAATCCCATGTTTGGTTATCTCTCAATATTTCCAACGGGCTATTAACCAACAAGAATCCCCAATGTCAAGCCCATTTAGTACACCTGTAGGCTGTTTCAGTGGGGGTGAAAACTTGTTTTTGTTGAGCCCATGGCCAGCTACACATGTTTTTGGCAGGTGAGGAAACGCTTTCCACCTTGAACTATGCGGCTCGGGCAAAGACCATCAAGCTCAATGCGCAGCCGGGCTGAACAAGAAGACGGACCCTGATCCCGGGTCTGCAACCAACATGAAGATTAAGTCCAAACGGACGTACCAGATATCTGGCTAAACCAACTGGATGGGTAGTTTGATTTAAGAGTTTGTGTTTTTGCCATGAATGGTATAATACGCATATAGTAACCAGTTTGATGTGTTTTTCATCGTTTTTCCAATTGGTTAAAAAACCGCTTGGCTGCTGGCACAACTGGAAGTAAGCTCCCTCCATGTCGGGATGAAGAAAAAAACGACATTGGCATGGACTGTTTACTTCCAAACGCTTGACATCGCTCGACCGGCTGTAAGAGTTGTCGAATCCATCTACATCTGAAGATATGTTTTTGCCAAAAGTTATTATTATGCTAAAAAATTCACCTCCAGACCTCCTAAGGCCGAAACTGGCGACGTTTGCTTCACTTTTTCACAGAAACCATAAAGGATACGAGGGAAACCATTAACCATCAATGTAACCATACGATTCTTGAATTTTGATTCCAGTTATTGGGGCATGATAGAGAGTTGCCCAATTGGATGCGGATCAATAGCCTTTTTTAATACCCCTTATCTACCCCACTTAGGGACATGAATCAACATGAAGATTCATAAACCCCAGCTACTACAGTAGTATTTCATGATGAGCCCAGGTGTAAGAACGAGGAGGCCGAGCATTTGTCCAAGTTGGAGGAGGAGGCGCCATGGACACGCCTCAGGGTGGACTTAGGTGTGGGATGAGATTCATAGATAGTGTTACCCTCTGGTATTGAAAATGGCCATTTATAGTTGATTTTATATTTTTTCCCTATTAAAAATGGTGGATCTTTCCATAGTTATGTAAACGTTTACCAGGCCGGGTAATAATGATTGAACATGAGCTCTTCGGAATCGATGGACTGTTGTGTTTTCGTAGAATTTTCTCCGCAAAAGTCATCACATGGAGCTGGGCAAAGTATGGTTACCCTCTGGTTATGTCAAAATAGCTATGGAAAATGGTCCATTTATAGAGGGTTTATGATGATAAAAACCTATCCAAAATGGTGATTTTCCCAGTTCGCTACGTTAAATAACCAGATAGTAATAAGAGGAATCATCTCAAAATGGCCTCATTGTTCTTTTCAGGATTTGTGATTTTTTGGTAATTTGCCCAGATTGATTGAGCTATTTTTCCTGAAAGCCACCAAAATTGTGGATTACTCAACCATTCACAGCCAAACTGAATCGTGATTGCTGACAACCCACCTTTTAAATATGCTGGCAACATATTTGTGCAGCTGACACCTGTTCCTTTTTCCTATTATTGTTGTTTCTGTTGGCCAAGTCCATGTCTTTATTGTTGTTACCTGCCAGTTTCTGTTTGTCATATCCAACTCTTTTGTTGGGTAATTCATTGAATCAATATTTTGTTGATGATTAAATTCTAAATTCCAGCTTCTTTGTTGGTTGATGTTAATCCCCATGTTGTTTTTTGGTCGAATCCTGTGACATCATCGAGTGCACTCCACTGCCACCTGTCCAGGTAGAAATGCTTCGAGCGAAGTTAGCAGAGGCTGAAGGGGCGAAGATCGAAATCGACACCAGTCGTCTCTTGGATTTGGTATTCAGAACCTTGACAATTACCCTCTGGTTATTTAACATAGCCATGGAAAATGGATGAAAATGGCCCATTTATAGATGATTTTCCCAGCTAGAAACCTCCATTTATAAGGGATTGTCCATGGCTATGTTAAATAACCAGATGGTATAAAGCGAATATGGTTTGGTGAGGTTTGTTGTTTCAACCAGGCACATATGCTGAAATATGTGATGTTGTAGTTTATGTAGAACAAAGTTTTTGCATACCTGATGGGATTGGATTAGTGAGGTGGAATGTTCTGACAACACCTACCAAACCCTTAGAAACTCTATGGTCTTGGAAGCAATCCAGTTCGTTTCTTTGGCAAAAAGTAAAGCATGTGATGTTTTCCGCTGGTATGTTGCGGTTGCATGTTGTACCGAAATTGCCGGATAGTTGTTGATGATAATGGACAACTATCAAGTTAGTCAATAGCTCCCAGCGGCCTTTGTTTTTGGAGGTGTCCAAAAATCTGGTATACTGCTGAATCCAGGGCTATTCCAAGGGTTAGGTGTGTGTGTGTGTGTTTTTACTTGCAAAACCCAGCACTTTCAGCTGTTTTTTTTCAGTTTGCTCACCCTGTGGATCCTGGTTTGACTCAACCCCAATGGACCCATGATGACCCCGCAACAGGTTTTCTCCTCATATCTTTGGAGACCTGTTGGGAGATGCTCCATGTAAGATTGTACTGTTCATTACTGTTCATTTTTTTCTCGGGGGATGCTATATTGATTTGAACATCCCATACATCCAATATAGTTCATCCAAGTAGTGATATAATGATCAAATAATAATAGTAATTTCTCATTTCATCCAACGTCATCCAATTTATTGATATTTAATAATCGCAATGCTAGATTACATTTGACGAAATGATAGACATTTAAAGATTTAAGTGACATTTAGAATATGATTCCCATTAAATGCTATGGATTATCAAATTTATCCCATCTCTGGTTGTCTACAAAGCATGCGCTGAGGCTATCAGGAGCAGATCGCTGAGATGGAACGTTTCATGAAGCAAACGTGGGAAGACAAGGAACGTGACACGCAGAAGCACGAGGAGACCGCTGGAGATCGAAGCACGTGGAAGAAAATGCTGACTTCCGTAGCAAACTGGGGCCCCCCAGTTATAAGTTGGTTTAAAAACCATGATAATCCCCATTAACTATAGCTATATCTACCATAAACCATAGTTAAACCACTTATAAACCAACTTAGCTATCTTGGGGGCCCCATCTTGTAGCAAAGTGATGTAAACTATGGACATTTCGTCAGGGAAGTGGATTGAAGCAGCAAACGTGAGAATTCAACCAGTAACAATCTGGATTTTAAGATTTTAAACAACAAACATCAGGATATTGCCATATATATTGCCAACTGCTTAGGTGTTTAACCAGCTAAAACTCAGTAGCTGTTTTCACCATCAAAGCTGCAATGGTAGGTTGACGGATTGATCTTCGACCCTTTTTCACGGAGGAGTATACTATACAGCAACGATCAAGATGCCCGAAAGTGTTTCTAGGATGTTATTGATGATATTTTCCAAACATTCTACAGTTAATAACTCATATAACCTGGATACATATATATATATATATATATTGGTATGTTATTTCTCATATATCCAGGTTTCTCCACTTTTCTACCTGGGAATTGCAAAAAACCGAGAAATGAAGGAGTCTCCCCAAATCTCAGGATGGTCCCGGTGATCATGAGATTTTTGAGTTTTCCATCCTCGAGACTCGTGGGATTTTGAAGGATACACGCAGATCTTTTTTGGGAGAGCCCAAAAAGAGGCTCTTGATTGGATGCTGAATTCTCTGAAGCTTGGAAGACTAGGTTGGTATACATATATTACATATATATATATATTACATATGTATATATATATATATTACATATATATATATATTACATATGTATATATTATATATATATATATGTATATTATATATATATATTATATATATAATAATACTATGTATATTATATATATGGTGTATATATATACTGTATATAATATAATATAATATAATATGATATAATATAATATAATAGTATATAATGTAATATGATATAATACAATATAATATAATATAATAGTATATAATATAATATAATATAATATAATAGTTTATAATATAATATATAATACAATATAATATAATATAATAGTATATAATATAATATAATATAATAGTTTATAATATAATAATATATAATATAATATAATATAATTTGATATAATATAATATAATATAATATAATAGTATATAATATAATATAATAATATATATAATATAATATATACTAGTATATTATATATAATATTGTGTATTCTTGACACAATATGGTTTGCCCAGACAAAACAAAACGTGGATCAAACATTGTTGTTCTTGTTGCTGAAATCTCCGTTTCTATTGAATGTTTGGCGCCAGGAAGAACGGCGGGCTTTGGAACAGGAACCTTGGAAGAAATACGCAGGAACTCTGACCTTGAGAACCATCTCAATGCTGGGTAAAGAGCAGTTCGATTTTGTTGGAAACCTGTTTTTGGGATTGTGACCGAAACGGAGACTTACTAAACTGAGATGTTCACCGAGACGTGTTCAATAAGACAAGTTCGGATGTTCACTCGGAGGAACTGGGATTTGTACTGACAAGACTAGAATTTTATTCCACAGACATGGGACTAACAACAAGTGAACATCAGTCAAAGATCACGGGCCATCCTTCAATTAGGTGAACTATTTCTGATAGAAGATGCCTAATCATTGTATAATTTGTGGACTGACCAATCAAAACGAAAAAACATATCCCACATAGGGGATGTTACTGGCACAGACTGGCAATACCAACCTTCAAAGATTCTGATTAGGGGGTTCAAATACCGGACAGACATTTTCAGGACAGCATGAAACACATTCATGGGAATATCACCAAGAGTACCCTGAATATGGCTTGTGCTATCTGGTCAGATTCTGATACTGGGATGCTCAACGGTTTGATCAGTTTCAATCAAGGCTGGTTTCAAAGATCTTCGACACCATCCCTATTTGGATAACTTCCCACTCACTTGCTTTTTGGCTTTGCATTCCCCATGTTTGCTTATTCCCCATGAATGTTTGCTTCTATGAAACCGTAGAAAAACACGTTCCCATTCTGCTTTGACCATCCCATCCGTCCATTTTTAGGCCTTGCAACCATGGGTTGTATCCCTTGAATCAACGAAAATTCTCTCAGGAAGCATTGCGCATTGCCGAGCGTGCCAACGCGGAACACCAAAGGAGCACATGGCCACGCTAGGGCTCTTTATGGCGCCGTGGTTTTCCAGAAATTGTGACGGGGGAAACAACCATGGACTCACCATGCTGATCATGACGACGTCATTGAGAAACCGTAAACATCCGCAGTCGCAATCAGGAGATTGAAGTTATTGGAAGACAACGGCGATTTGGAGCTCACCCTCCAGGTGTGGTGGGTTTTTCCAAATGACGGGAGCATCCCAAATGATGGTGTAATCTGCACCATCAACAACCACTGTTCCTTTTGGTTCTTTTTGGATTTTTGAGCCACATGACTATCCTTTAGTGATCCTTTCTTTCGTGACTCCCTCGTGACGTCCCGTGGTAGGAGTTGATGAGTTTGGGCGGCGAAGCCTTCTCCACGTGGCAATCGCAAATCACCGACATCCTGGAAAAGGCAAACACATCGCGGTCGGGGATCGAAATTGGGTGACTCCTCTGGTTTTGTGTGTTTTTAAGGTAACAAAAAATGTGTGATGTTATGATATTTGTTTCTGGTGACTTAAGAAGTTCATATAATATGTTATTTTGTAATTATATAACATTATATGGCAGTGTGTCAAAACCTTGTACCCCTGTAGTTCACATCAAAATAGCTGGGATTTATGGATGTTCATCCCTCTAAAAATGGTATTAATAGGTATTGATCCATAACCATATAACCATATAACTAACTCTCTGAGTTCTATGGCATGATGGCCCGCTTAGTTCGATCCATCTAAAATTCCCAGAGGATCTGATCAACTTGCGGTCCATGTAGCTTTGTCTCAAAATAGGGAAGCCATTCACTGATTAATCCAATCTGGTTGGTAACATTGGTAACATCTTTGTCATTCCAGTAGGGTTTTATCATGTTTTATCCATTCCATCCATTGTCGTCTTCCCTCTCAAATGGTCAGCCATTGGTGTACCCAGTTTGTGTACCCAGTTTTCACGTCGCCATGTCACCTTAAATTTGCCAGGAGCAGAAGGTGACGATGCAATGCCGCGCTGTGGCTGTTTGCAAGGATGAGCCCTGCGGGATTGGATTGAAAAAAAATGGGCAGGCTAGATGCCACATGACGCACTCGAAGCCTACAACGAAGCCATTTCCTCAGAATGACCATATACAGTATGTAATGGCCATATATGTAGTTGTATCCTTGTTGATTTATGTCTTCATTTACTGAATCGACAGCCGATGTGGTTGCCCGTGACCTACGGTTGGATCTACTCCATAGGCCCATCTTTGATGCAGCGTCCCATGTAGGACGCGGCCCTACATGATGTGGACACCTGGCTGGAACGTGCGCAAAGCGACGAAGCTGACACTGCGGGTGACAGGACCCCATTGTTGCGACGATTCTCTGCGATGGGTGTGTGAAATTGATTTTAGCAGTTAAGAAGCAACAATTCACCGTAGTGAATTTGACCAACCAGTAAGTTAGATAAGTTTTTTGGCCTATATAGATCCATTAAATGCCATTAAATCATGGGTAGTACCCTGCTTTAGCTTTCCCAAACTTAACGGTGAAGCATTCCACCTCGGAGGATGCTGCTGTCCCAAGCGGAGAAGAAGGTCGCCTCGATGTCCCGGGAATTGGACGTGCTCACTGCAGCTGAGAGGTGGGCCCCAAAAAAGGGCCCCCAAAAACGGGATGAACCTTTTGGGAAGGGGCAATTCTTGGTTGATAAGATCAGATCTGGTGTGTATTATATATATATATTTATATATATATAGAGATATAAGTCCATCATATTTTGGGACGTATAATTTTAACTAATATTATATATATATATACATCGCAAAGTTTGGGTCAATGTGAATAAGTATGGGTCGAAAGTGGGTATTTTTTCGAATTGGATGATAAATAGATGTAAATAGTAAGAATGACTTCATGTTTTGTCAAGACAATTGACACCCATGGGATGTTAAGAAACAAACATCACCGCGGTACCAGGCAACTGGAAGCAGCCATTGCCTACTTCCTGCCTCTACTGCGGCAAGTGGCAGCCAAAGTGAAGTTGGTGCAGGCAGAGTGCCAAACTCAAGCGCAAGCTAGATGGGGACCACAGATTTTAGATGTTTAGGATGTGTTTAGTATTAGCCAAAACAAACAAAATGGGGTACCAAATTCTGACCTGTACCTAATACCCATAGAATGATTTAAAATTGGGGATACCATGCGATACCACAAATTATGGCCATTTGAATTCATTTTTTTATAGGGAAAATGGCCATGATAAACCCTGGGATTTTGGGATACCATATTTTTGAACCCAAACGCGGTCCATTTTGTTCTCATGCTGTTTTTTTGTGGTGATTTTTGAGCGGAAATCAGAGTTGAAACAGTGTACCCCTAGTTGTCCTTGTTCAGGAAACAGTGGGTCACAATATTGATCCCAAGACATTGTTGGAGAAATACTTCAAGGGACCGATGTGGTGGGTCCATTGATACCCGATTTTTGAAGGTCTAATTCTGATGATCTCCCCATTTTCCGCATTCAAATGCCATTTCTCTTGGTTTAAACATCTGATGGGTCCAACCCCCATGATACTGTCAATTCCTCACCCATGAAGGGGTCTCTACCATTGAAGTTGTAACCCAATTTAACTCGTACTAGTCATGTTGTGTCCATGTTCGACCAAGCAGCTCAACTTTGTTGGAATCAGAGTATGTATAGAGTTTTTCCTCATTCCAGATCCCCTCCAAATCAGCACTTAGAACTTCGCATAACTTCGCCATTCGTCAGGATGATGAACCCAAAGATGCGAAGCAAACTGAGCAGGAACAAATTCTTGCTCTAATGGCACCACGGAGCAACCAGCAGCCTGTGGGGTGTTGGAAGGTAAGCATGGCAGTTACTGTTTATTGGAAAAGAACCCCATATTTGATGCTAGATTTTGATTCCAAAGTCTTTGAACATCTTTGAACATAGAGCTTGGATCCCAGATTGACTCATATTGATCCAAATTTGGAGGATGAGATGGTGAGGATATTTTGCAGCAACAGCTTCTGGATCTTCCTGCGGCCTTCCAACCAGGGGCTGGATCTCATTCCCTGTTATCCCAACATTGCCTGGATTCACCTGGGAGTATCAGCAGGAATTTCCAAAGTCACTAAGGTTTGATGATTCTTGTCTTGGAAAGTGCTGTTTCCCCCAAAAAATGGGGGGGGGCATTGCTTCATTTCACCACTATAGTTTCCTGAACAAATGAGGATTTGGAGAACTTTGGGACCTGGACCTCTGAACCTCCCATCTTTTGAAAGCCGCCTCAGAAGTCTCTCTTTTCGCTGAGGTTCGTCAGATGGATGGTCACCGGGCAAGCGCTTGGAACAAGATCGCTGAGGATCATCGTGACTGGGACGCCGTGGAGGATCACCGGTGAACACTGGTTCCCGTTGCTTAAGGGGATGATATCATGACCCAAAAAATGGGAAGCCTGTTCTCAACCGCTACCCTCTGGTAAACTAACGTAACTATGGAAAATCACCATTTTTCATGGGAAAATCCACTATCAATGGCCATTTTCCATAGCTATTTTGACATAACCAGAGGGTATAATCATAGGAATCCCATGGAATCCCCATCAATAACAATGAAATTTCCAATGAAAATCCCTCCCGTGCCCCTATGTTTTGAACCGTTTAACGGTTTTTTCCGGTGCTTCATCTGGATCTCCCCCGCGCTCCCAAGGAAACTTGGGCAACTTCGTGGAGAAAATTCAGGGCTTCCTACGCTGTGCACAGATGGATGAGAAGGCAAAGGCGCCCTTGCTGAAGGACGCGCAGCGGCTGGGGAGGGTCACGATATGTGTGCCAGGTGAAAAGATATGAGAAAGTTAGATGTAATGTGGTAAAGCCATGTAAACCCAATCATCGACCTCCAATTTTGGAGGCTTTATCGATCGGTTGAGGAAGAACATGATCTGATGGTGGCCAGTGATCTGAAGAGAATCGCGGAACTACATATGCAAAAGCTGTTGTGTTTCCCATGTGTTTTACAAACCATTGAAAATTCAAGAGTTTTTTTGGGGGAAAAACATGCTGATCTTGTTTCGTGTGGGAAATTGTTCACCATTTTCGCGAGTTTTTTTCGGAAGCTGCTGTGTTCCCAGTGTTTCTGTTACGAGGAAAGTAGTGACAAAAACTGGAGATCAGGATATGAAAGCCTTCGAGGCTCAAAGTCATAACGGTCCAGGGCAGGAGGCCTGCATCGTTTCTCAGCTTCAGTGGTGCAGGGGTTATGGGTTGAATATGATTGAATTGGGAAGCGTATAAACCACAAATGGGTGAATAATGGGTCAACTATGGTTAGTTGTTGATTGGTTGATGACTTCATGTTTTTGTCCAAATAGTCTGGAGTGCTTATTTGCCATGTGTTTGGCATTTCTTTGGCCACAAGCATGATGGACATGAGGATGATTCCGCCAAAAAAAGCATGAAGTTGTTTTTTTAACATGTGGTCCGGATATCTCCTGATTCTAGTTAGGCACTCTATCAGCCTAGAAGGTGCTTCGTATGTTCCAAGACATTGCCCAAACTTATGATTGATGGTTACAAAGTACAGGGGAATAATGACTGTGTTCAGAGCTCACAACTGAAACAGTCACACCAACAAAAGGTCAGACGTTCAGTGCAGTGGTCAGGCTTTCCGACGCTTTCACCCTTGGTGATGTCACCAAAAACCCACTCATCGAATATCGGATGACGCATTCGCGCATCGCCATGTCACGGGATGAGCTTTGCCAAGAGTCAGCGGGATGTCTCACTGGAGCCTCATTTGAAGAGTGAGACTTCATGGCGGTGACAACAGCTGACTTTAAATGCGTACTTTATCTTCGCCCGCAGCCCATTCCACCATAAATTGATCATGTTTCTGGATTCCATGTTCGGCAAAATCTGAATAAAAAACACCTAAAGTCTGATATATTGTCAAGCACCTCAACATGCTTCCCAAATAGAATAATAGAGACATATAAATTCTAGGCTTAAGGTTGAACATGGGTCCAGGGATGTAGAGACGTCACCTTCACCTGTTCCTGTTGGAATCTGTTGGGACTGGGCCAAGGCGCAGGGCATTCCCATGGGCATGGCATCCGAACATCTCACGGAAAAGCACATCAAGGCCAGGGAAGCTGGACCATTGGGAGCCTGAAACAGCTGGGAGTCGAGAAACAGCAGTCATGGAGAAAAAACTGGAAAGGACTTTATAAACTGGTTTTATAGTGTTTTTGTTGTTTAGAAAATCACAGCACATATATATACTCAAGATTATCATTTGCGATTTTGTCTCAGACAGATGGATGCTCCAATTTATGGGTTTATGACATGAAGATATGTGTTTGGCAATGGGTTTTGGGTCCATGTCTCAAAGGATGTTGCAGATCCACCATATTTAACGCATGAAATTTGGATGGTTCAGATCTGAGCTGTGTTTTTTCGTCATTCTGAATGCCAAAAGTATTTGATCAGATCCAGATCCATGTCAAATAGTCACATAATAGTGGTTAATAGTGGTTAATAGTGGTTAATAGTGGTTAATGATATATCTGGTTGGTGGTTTGGAACATAATTTTTATGACTGTCCATTGAGAAAAGGGAATTTCATCATCCCAACTGACGATTCGTCCATCATTTTTCAGAGGGGTCGGTGGCTCAACCACCAACCAGGATTAGTTACATCATTTGGATTTTCGCCGGAAGACGATCCAACAGCACACTCAATCATCCACATATACCCGGCCTGGTAAACTAACAGTTCGCTATTGAAAATGGTGATTTATAGTGGATTTACCCATTAAAAATGGTGATTTTCCATAGTTATGTTAGTTTACCAGGGGGTATATTGCTCATCAGTGAAAGTTGTGCTTATAGGACTCGCTCTAGTGCTTTGGCCCTGCAATGGATTTGTTTCATGGAAGATCTACGCTCAGGAATTTTTAGATATATCAAATCACAATTTTGAATAGGTAAAACATTTGTGTAAATGTTGTATTTTCATCTATTTTCCATGATGGCTACTGGTATGTTGAATTATCCGCGGGTATTTGCTGTTCCGTTCTTCGCCAATTAATCTACTTAATCCAATGTTCAATAGACAGTGCCATCGATTCGGAGATCTTTTGTCACCATCGCAGTTTGTTTGACTTCAATTTTGATGGTTATAGAATCGATGTCAATCACATCATATTTGCCCTGAAAATTGTTACTTGTACGTATGTTTGATGGCTCAGTTCCCATTAATCACTAGTTGTTTCCTTATGACAATGACATGAAATGGGGATATAATATGATCTAAATTCCATCCATCCTATTTTCAACAATATTCAACACCCCCCGTTGGAAAATGGTCCCAAATAATCCCAGGTGCTGCATCCCAACAAGATCCATGGATTTCAGGCTCCAGCTTGGCCCCAGGTCACTTCCAACGCGCCTGCGGCGTGTTGTGCACGGCTCTTGGGCGGAACACAGAAGGCGCAACGGCGAGCACGGAGCCGTATGCCATACCTGGAAACCCATAAAAGATGGTTATGACGCGGGGATGGTGAGGATAAAGAATTGGGTGGATCCTGATGTGGGAATGATTCGAGCTCAGTTTTGTTTCTTCGAAGATTTGCGAACCAAGCAGTAGAATGGGATGGGACAGGAGAGGGGTACATTTCACGTTTCGAGTGAGAGGTTGCACTGTTGGCTTATGATGACAATATATATATACAATATCATTCACAACAAGTGTTGGATTTGTGGTGTGGCCTACTTGGTATTGGTCAGACCCCCCAAATACTCAGCCAAGGATCATTAGTCCGGGCCATCCAGGGCATATTGCTTGCTTGTTTCCGGTAGGCGATTTCATGCGTTTATTCCAAAGTGGAACATAGCTTAATATCGGAAAACCTTCTGTCAGCTGCCTTATGCCCGCTCTACTTGTGTAAAATGCGTGAATGACTTTCTTATATAGAAGAGAGGTTGTCCATTGCCATGTTCCGGAAAAAGCATCAGCGTCGGTGGGTTTCTCACCAGATCAGCTCGAGCTCAGCTCGAGCATCCAGTGAATCATGGCAGCACATGGACCGAAAACTGTTGTATCTTGGGGCATAACTCATGTTATCTCATGTTCTAGCCATTTCTAGCCTACCGTTGCAGATGTTGGTCCTTGTTGATATTGAAGATTCTTGACCCATCAGAGACACATGATATTATGATGAATGGATAGAAGATGTACCATCCAGGACTTGATAAGCATATTATTGAATTTTATTGAATAGCAGATTCGACTTGAAAATATCTTGAGCCATCATTCAGAAAAATGAAAAATGTGAACCATTGCAGTAAGCAATTTTCGGTCATCAAACATGGGCAAAAACGAAAATTCCCCATTTAGTTCGGTGCTTTTCCCAGGCAAAAACTACACCTCCATGGCTAGTTTTGAGATTTCCAACTGCCACATACCACTGATGCTCCAATGAAATCCCATTCAATGATGTTTAAATCACATTAAAATCTCATGAACATCTACCAAGATCCCATCATATAAAACCCATATTATATATATAATACATATATATATATATATGTATTATATATATATGTGTATATATATATAGATTCCATGAATATCCCATTCAGCTATTGTGGTTGCAGCTTGAACCTCCATCCTGTAGGCCAGCAGCGCCTTTGGTGGCTGGACGCCCAACGCGGACACCAAAGGCGGAAGGGGTGCGGAAGGGGAGAGTTGTGTAGTTCTTGATGGGACTTGGGATTTATTGTGATTTTAGTAGTGAGATGTAGTTCTTGATGGGACTTGGGATTTATTGTGATTTTTGTAGTGAGATGTAGTTCTTGATGGGACTTGGGATTTATTGTAATGTTAGTAGTGAGATGTAGTTTTTGATGGGACTTGGGATTTATGGTGATTTTAGTAGTGAGATGTAGTTCTTGATGTGACTTGGGATTTATTGTGATGTTAGTAGTGAGATGTAGTTTTTGATGGGACTTTAATGGGATTTCATGGGAGTTCAGTAGATATTGCTGGAATTTCAATTGGATTTAAGAGGATTGAGATGGGATTTAAATGGATGTTGAATGATATTGATGGGAGTTCAATCCCAATACTTGTGGATATTGATGGATATTGGAGATTCGAGCAGATGCCGACATCATTGGGATACTGATTCAATGGCCATTCCAGGATCCTAAATTGGAGGTACCAACCATTTTTTTAAGGCCTATTTTTCAGGCCTAAATTTCAGGGAATATCCCCACAAAATATGGCCAGACATATGGTACGTTTACGTACCTCCATCTGTTCGGATCCTGGAATTCCCATTGACTGATGGGATACTCATGGGGGCTTCATGGGATTCCGAAATATCAACCAACAACGCTTTTGAAAATAAAAAAAATCGGTTGGTTAGGTATCTCCTCCAGATCTACCCTCTGGTAAACTAACGTAACTATGGAAAATCACTATTTTTAATAGGTAAATCCACTATTAATAGCCATTTTCAATAGCAAACTGTTAGTTTACCAGAGGGTAGCCGTACCTTCTCAGGAAGCGGCTGACGTATGATTCAGGGAATATTTTTTTTGCGATGGGTTTCCTAAAACGCTTTGGACCGATGATCATGACCAGCCAAGTGATGTTGTTTTTTATGTTTTTTTTTATCCGCAGGAAACGATGGTTATTTGGAATGGGAATACCTTAAACAAGCATAGAGTCATAGTTATTTCACTATCAAAATAGTCTAAGTTTGAATGATAACTTGAGGTGCCCCTATTTCAGGAAGCAAAAAAAAATTGTGCTGGTGATGGACACTGGTTGATAGTTTGCAGGTATACAAACTAAAGATGTCCAGAGAATCCGCGGTGCCCGATTTCGCTGCGACGAGTCGCTGTAGTTGTCCGGGTTGCACCAACAAAATTCCTCCATGAAATGCTTAGATCATTTCTCCATCTGGTTCGTTGGGAAGAAAACACTTATTGGCACGCAATTTTAGACCATCCGACCGTCCTCACTTGGTACATAGGCAGCATCGGTAGTTTACAGTGGCCAATTGGTGGAGACCCTGATAGATGACCAAAAACAGAGCATACAGTACTGCACAGTAGCATGAAATTCGGGACCACACTTCAAGATGGGACCCTCCAGTTATAAATGTGTGTAATTACGAACCCATCTGAGTCTGAATGTATCTATATAATAGTACCATAGATTGAATCGTTAACCTCTATAGGTAGTAAACTTAGTAAACCAACATGACCTATTACTGGGGCCTTTTTTTGTGTTTCGACATGTTTCATTTTTAGAACCCCCACCCGGTGCGGTGAGGTGAATATATCCAGCTGGACCTTTGCAACTCGGTGGTTTCTGGGTTATCCATCCAAGGGCGACGGCCCGTCTCAGGCCGGGTTCACCGGACGACAGCGAAAGACATCGTGGGATGACTTTGGAAAAAATTGGAGTGGATTCTTTCAGAAGGATAGTAAGATATTATTTTTTTGGCATAGTAAGGATATGTAAGGATAGATTAATATAGTAAGATAATGTAAGATATATTTTTGGGCATAGTAAGGATAATCCGGGATATTGATGACCAGCGGATTCACAATGAAAGCCATGTTTCATTAATATCCATTCTGTAGAATGTTGCAGTCGGACAACACTTTCGATCAATCGGATTTTTCTGCACTGGATTTTTGGGGTGGAAACTGTAGATCCATTTCAGGGTGATTGGTTCACAGGTGAGATGATCCCTGAAGGCTGCTCGATTGAATGGTTTATAATGGTTTATATAAGTGGCTTTCCTGATCCGGGAGGTTTTCAGAAAACCTGTGACATCTTCGCAGACGTACCGGGCTACGGCTGTTCATCCAGCCCATGTAAAACCGTGTGATGCCTTTGCTATACCCGGCCTGGTAAACGTCTACAGTTTGCGAACTTGAAAATGGCCATAGAAATAGTGGATTTACCCATTAAGAATGGTGATTTTCCATAGCTATGTTAGTTTAGCAGAGGGTACATGTGTTTCACTCTGCAACCTTCTACTTGTCCTTCCACGTCTTTTCGTCAAAGTCAGTTATTCACTTGACATACGTACTCGAACTCTGAAAACTACACAGATCTGTGATCAACAACTGTAGCCATTTCTTCTGTGTTCATGTTCAGCCCGTTGTGATTGATGAATGTTGTTACTCCTGCCCCGACACCGCCTTGCAGGCAGCCCAGACCAGACTGGCCCTTTGCTGCTGGGCACAGTGGTGGATTGTTGGACAACTCTATCAGAGACTATCATCAGATGTGCATTACTGGTTGGTGGTTTGGCACATTTGTCATACATTTGTTATTTTTCCATATTTCCATTCAGTTGGAAATGTCATCATCCCAACTGACGAACTCATATTTTTCAGAGGGGTAGGTATACCACCAACCAGATTACAGTTTGATACACTTCGGGAAAATGTGTGGCACCATTTTCCGTCAATCTGGGGAACTTGAGACCCAGTTTGTATCATTTTGTCAGTCGGATCTAGCAGCACATGTTCTGTTGCTGCTGGGGATCCATTTACAGGGAACAAACAATGTCGTGCCCACGTGCAGAGTACCAGAATTGCAGAGAAGTTAACGTAAGAAGTCGTGCCTACCCCCTAAACACGTGCGAGCTCTGCTGTGTTTGGTGTTTGATTCTTGAGTTTTGTTGCGGTGTCTATGTGTTTTGCTATCTTCCAGCCTGCTTAGGGGATATGTGGTTGTTTGGATTCGGTGCCATTGGGAACTCTGGGTGCTTGCCTTGTGGCCTTGGGTCAATGCTTTGCAATAGTTCTGACATTGGATTGTCTAGTTTTTTCTAATGTGTTTTTTTTAAAGAAAAAACATGTATTGTCTTTAGCTATGCCTGATTGTCATCACTATTTGCATGGATTATTGTGCTTCGTGACAAATATAATCAAAACGTTATTACCCAGCATTCTATCAAGAATTTTCTGTATGACTGACTGGCCAATGTAGATTTATGTGTGAATACAACATGATGCAAGTGCCCAATATCTTTTGATACTGTATCTCTCTACAGGCCTTCGGCATCTAGGAAGTTTCAACCCAAGCCATGTAAACCGATCTCCTTTGGCCCATGAGACAGTCAAGTCCTCTCAAGATTCTTCCACCCTTCAGCGTTGGGTGCTCAGATACCTGATAAAATCATATAAAATCCAAGAGTCACAGAACCATTCTACAGTTTATATTATTGAATAATTATTATGTGGCTTTAGATTGTTGTATGCTATTGAGCCATTGGCCCCATATCGGCCCCGTGTCGTTGTAAGGCACAAGGGTGGACAGAATGATTGTAGGATGTTTTTCTACACTTTAATATATTGGGGATCATCATAATCCATGAGCTCGGAATGCCCATGACAAACTAACAATTATTGTTTGATGACAATCTGATTTTCCAATAGGTTTTTGATCATGTTCCCGCATTAAAATCACGTTTCCCAATGAAATCGCGACGCATCGGGGGTAAATCCAGCATTTTGTTGGATAGACTCATTATTGAAGCCGTGGGATAAATCCCACATGAATCCGAAATTTTGAGAGAAACATCAATAAACATATATATAGAGAGAGAGAACATGAATAACCATGGATAAACCCATCAAGGATATATGTTTTCCAATAGGTTGTTGCGGCTTTTTTGTTCAGCTCAGGTTGGAGAAACTCCTGGAATCCTCTGATCCGCGACCCCCAGGGCGACTCTATAAGCGTCCACCAGTGCGGCTTATCCATGCCACTTGGAAGGATCACTGCGGTTCCGGTGGGTTCCAATGCTTCAAACAATGGGATCTCTCCAATAGGGATGTATAGAATTGAGATGCTTAGCCTCTGGGAATCAGCTCCATGAAACTTGGCCACTTGGCCCATTGAGTACGGGGACCGGCGGACCGGTGTATCTATTAAAGATGGTGATTTTTTGCAGTATTTGTCCATAGCTATGTTAGTTCACCGGGGGGGTGTTTTTTTAATGGGGAAGCAACAGTGTGAAATGTCAAGCCATCGATTGAATGATGTGATGGTCATACTCATACCATCCTATTTTTAGTTTCTTTGAATATCTATTTGTTAGGCATGGATGAGCGGGAATCGTAGGTGTGAGGATTGCAAAGTCCCTGAGATTCATTTCAAACGGAAAAAACTAACAACGAGTCACGATTTAAATACTTGGGATGAGTATCCTCGAAACAGACAAGATCCGTGGTACCTCTATAGGTTTACTTCCTGAATCTTCCACAAATGTGGAATGCCAAAGTTTGAGAACGTATCAAAGATCATCATGCAGCAATTTTGGTGTCCTCAAGGGGGTCTATGCCCATGAAACGTCCTGTCATGCCCCCCCTTGGGATGACAAAACCCGGTGACGACCTGTTTTCGTTTTTCTCCATCGCAATTTTGAAGCACCCAAAAAAAATCACAGAGTTGTTTTTCCCGAGAAAAACTTGGAAGATGTTTGGAATTTTGACCTTTTCTGTGACCATTAAAAAACGAACACCGCAGCTTTTAGGATGTGTTCATGATCGCCCACGCACGGTTTCATGCCCTAGATCCCGGAACCTTGGACAAACTCGCGATGGGGAATAGTCAATGGATATGGATACGTGGGAGGATTATGGGGTGAAAACACTGGTGATTATCTGGTGTTTTTTTTATTATATATCATTGATAATCACCAGATAATCATCTGGTTCTTATTATCTGATAAATAAGTTTTGAATATCATTAAATATGTTTTGAACTATATGATGGTTGCAGGGTTGCAGTTATGTTGCAGTTAAAAAGATCGCGAATCTCTTGATGTGTAGTTTAGTAGTTGGGGTGCTGATTTCAAATGGTATCACCCAGTCTGGCTACCTGACGTTCACTCTTTCTTGTTTCATGCCAACCTGCACGAGTGCAAAGATGTCAGCCGATGAGTTCAGAGCCACCAGTCACCAGGTGAAATCAAGCCGCACGAGTTGTCCCAGTTGTCACCTACCGGTTGCCTCCATTTTGATAGGTGATATCCATGATTCTATTTTATTGTTATTGCAGAAGACTTATCTCCAAAGAGTCAAAAACTCCTGCAAGCAATGCTGCTTTAGAAATAAACAAACATTGCCTTGATTCATGCTGGGGAACACGTAAAAAAAAAGAAGCAGCCTGTTCCCGTTTGGATGGAGATGTGATCATGCTTGTATCTCAAGGCATGATCAAAGAGACCCTTCCTCCAGTCAATCATGTATAAAGATAGTATATTCTCTCTATCTCCACAGTTCGTAAATCAAGGGTGCCGGGCAAAACAAAGTGGGCCCCTCGCAGCCATGAGTTGGTTGAATTTAACCCAACTGTAGATACATCATGCTACATCCACAAGAAATCCGTTGCAATAGCAAAGTTACAAGCCGTTTTCCCCAGATTTATGTTGGTTCTATGTACCAATGTTCATATATGTCCCAATGTTTATCATAGTTTATCCAAGTGTATTCCAAATTGTATTCCATTTTTGCTGAGTAAACTGAGTGAACACACCTTTTTGTTGATGGGTTGAGCTGTCACAGCGGGGGCCCCGGGGACCCCTTAGTCAGGTGAACCCAATTTCAGCCCGTCGCACTTGGACTACGACCAGCTGAACAAAGCGGACCGCTCGGCCAAGGCGCGCCGAGAAGTGAAGGAACCGAAGGATGGGAAGGATGGCTTGAAAAAAATATCCATTTTCTATGGGTTTTATGAATTTATGGGACCTGTTACCTCTGATTTGGATAGTTCTCCCATCATTATATCCAGCAACGGTAGATATAAGGATATACATTCATATACAATGGGATAGCGATACATTGCTATATTAGAATGGGATAAGAACGGAGATATAGAACCAACAATATCTATATGGTTATCAATTATCAATATCCTAATGTGGAAATGTGGTATATGATTAATGATTTATGGTATATTAATTGGATTTGGGATTGAATGTGGTGTATATTATACTGTATATATACACATATTATTTACAACCAACAACAATGGCCCGCAAACAATAGCAAAGTTGGTAAACATAGCTCCAAGAACTGTTTTTTGTAGGGCCACCTTGATGGGATTGTCCCAAAAGAGTTGCTTCAATCTATGGTAGGTAAATTATGACGTTTTCAGGAGGAAATTGATATTGTTTTACCATGTTTTACCTCTATAAGCCATTCCACCCGCTTGTACCCTCTTGTTGGCACTAAACCTAATTTTATTTGGTTTTGTGTTCTAAAATCTACGTACTGGATATGGCTTGTTTGTTCCCGAGCCATTGGAATCATCCCCATCCTTTGCCATCCCCCAAATTTGGGTAATATGGTACTGTTTACATTGCGTCAACTGTTTTGGGATCTGTTTTGGGATCTGTTGTTTGTCTGAAAATGTGGAAAACACTTCTACTAACATCCGACATCCAATGGTTTATCATGGTGTTGCCTGTTTAAAATTGCCATTTTGGGGTGTGCCTCATTTTTGGCGCCAGAAAAAGGAGGGTTTGTACCGACAAGGGAGACATTTTTCAAAGGCAGTGCGAGGTTTATCAGCCGCTACAAATCGCTCAGAAATCTAGTGAATGTTCATGCGGAAGAACGCACATGTATTACTTGGTACTTGTTCATGCTTTTTCATGCTTGCTATGGACATGGTGATATGCATGTTCTATCCATGCCATATGCACCTGAACCCTTCGTCCAAGTCTAAGTTTGCACAGGTTGAATTCTTTGATCTTCTCCTATCACGTTCCTTGGCGCCAATGTCCTGAAGTCAGATTCTGTGTTTTTTTTTTGCACACTCCACTTTTTAGTATCAGTGTTCCATTGGGATTGGGAAATTGAACCTTCCGAATGTACTATATATATATACAAATATACATATACAATCATATACATAATTATCATCTATCTCTGTCCGGTGAAGGTTTATCAAACATGTCCAGGGTCATTTTACCGGAGTCATTGGAAGACTACATGATATCCTATTGAGGAGCCCTGCAGTTGCCTATCGCCAAGGATGCATGTTACTTTTTGACCAACCTTTACTTATGTTGTTTGCATCAACCTGTCTGGATATCATATGTGTACTGTGTACATATCTTATGTATATACATAATCATACATGCAAAATCAGGTAAGCCTAAGAATGAAGCCATCCCCATTCAGAGTTATTCTTGGGTATACCGGTATACCCCTTGTTTATGATGATATAAATCGAGCCCCATTTTATGATTGGTTACTGGGACAGTTTATGGCATTGGGTTCACAGTATTCTAGGTATATAATGGTATATACACATATACATATTACATATTTGAAGTAACCAACCAGCAATTAGCTATCATTGTGACCCTTATCTGAATAACATGTATATATATATAATTATATATATACATGATATGCACATATACATATATGACATGCACTACATATTATGTATATATATATATACACATGCATTATAGATACATATGATACATAAAACGAAGTTCCCATCCACACCTCATAGGCCCGGCCTGCGACTGAGCAACTTCACCCAGGTCTGAAACAAGCTCTGGAAGCCAAGTCCTGGACGATTCCGCCCCTGAAGTTGACTGCTTCAGTGCCTTGGTGGTTTCCACCGCTTGGGAGAAGTTATGGAGGATGAAAGATGCAGAAAAAACTTGGGAAAATGGTGGTAAAATGGCGAAAACAGAGGAAACAGAAAATCGTGATTTAACTTGGGTTAAAACGAGAATTTGGGGAAGAAGTACAAGGCAAGACCATTCATTGGCAGATCCAGGACCCTTAATGTTAGCTGGCTGGTCTGGAAATGACTCTAGTCATCACTCCTTTCAAAGTATTTCAAGCACTTTGGAAAACTCAGCTGCGCAGCCCCATGAGAAGACCCTAAGACGCTAATTTTAGGCCCATTACCCTCTGGTAAACTAACATAACTATGGAATATCACCATGTTTGTTGGGTAAATCACCTTTATATAAATGGCATTAACTGGCAATTTTCAATAGCAATCTTTTACTCTACCAGAGGGTAAAACCTCTTTAACCCATCATTTTTGATTCATACCTTCGAGTTTTTTGTTGCTGGGTCGCCCAGGACATCCTGGGCGGTAAGAACACGGTGGAGAGCAACCGCATGCTGCAGTGGCCTGGCCAACGATTGGTTTACCCCCAACTGGTTGGTTGGGACCACTACTATCACTACGTTGAAATAGGCCCAAGAACCTCGAAGCATTGTGGGATTTGTTTTGGGGTGGGGTGAAAACTGAAAGATTGTGAATTGTGGAATTTTCTCAACATCGAGTGCTTGAAGATAAAGCTGAACAATCTTTTGCCCGTGAGAGTGCGCTCTGGTAATCAAACATGGCTGGGAAATCCCCGAACCAAATGCAGGTTTGAACGGGAAAATCTACTCTATGTTTGATGACACCGCAAAATAGGCAATTGTTTGCATCGTGAAGTCATGGATCGTCGTGTCAAGCAGTATGAGCTGGGTGGGTATGATGCTACCTTGTTTCAAGTAGAGTTACCCTCTGGTAAACTAACAAAAAACTATTGAAAATCACCACTTTTAATAGGTAAATCAACTATAAATGGCCATCTTCAATAGCTACGTTCGTTTACCAGAGGGTAATCCAATCAGCCAGCTGCGCATTCAACTCCTAAGATTGCAACAGACTGGGAATCCACCTAACCTCGGAACGAATTGACCATAGATGATGGTTAGTAGAGGGAATCGTCCCCAAATTGGTTTATTTCAGCCTTGTGAAGTACTATTCCAAGATCAATCTAAGAGGGGTATACGGTATATGATATTCCACAAGTCACTCTGGGGGAGTTTTGTTTTGAAGGTTTATGAGTTAACAATGTCCATCTAGTTGGCTTACGATTTACTCAGACATGTTCGTGATTTTTTACGTCATGATCGTCGCTCAGGTTGCTTTGCTACTTGGCTCTTCAAAAGAAGATGGAGACGGAAGAGGACACAGAGCCCCGACAGAAAAATCGCTCACCCCGGTGGATGATGCCCAACTTTGGAGATGCTAAGTTGGTGCAAATATCTCCAATAGCTAGGATTTATGGTAGCTATGGTCATAGGATTTATGAGAATTATAAGCCATCTTTGTAATTTGATAGGCTTGAACCAATCACACAAATCAATCAAAAGCCATAATTTGATGGCTGTACTATGAAGTGGTGGTGGATTGGTGGATATTTGTGGTTGGTTGACGAGGATCAGTTTTTTACAAATCATAAATCCACTACCCTCTGGTAATTTGTTACATAGCTATTGAAAATGGCCATAGAAATAGTGAGCTTTCCCATGAAAAATGGTGATGTTCCATAGTTTTTTGTATGTTTACCAGAGGGTAAATCCACTACAAGAATCCTGATCAACAACCAGTACTACAACCATCTACAACCTATATATCAGGCGCGTGAACCGCTTGGATTTCACCGCTCAGGCGGGTATTTTCAAGCTGGAAGAGCAATGGGTTCCTGGTCGGCACAACGGGTGGATTTGCTGATTGAAAAAGAGGCCATACTGCCGTGCAAACAGGCCTGAAACCATGTGAAGCCATGCTGACATTGTTAGTACTGCGTTTAAGCCAGCTAAATATGAACTCTTCCCAATCCCCTGCCAATGTTGAAGAGTAACGATTTTAACAATTGCTTCTCACGCTCAGCAAAAAGAGTTGGTGGACCTCGAGTCAGATTGTCTAGCAATGGCAGAGCACATGTTGGCTGGAACACTGGCGACTTCAAGCGACCCCACTAGAAATGCTCTTTGATGTTTGGGAAGTCATCATAGATTCATAGATGGCCTTGAATCAGGTTTGTGAGTCCGACTTTTGTATATGTGCCATGGTCAAAAGATGATTTTGTTTACCCTAATATTGGTGGCCGGTCATCAACCCATATTGGTAGGGATTTATTTATATACGTATATATATATAATATATATATATATATATCACGAAAGCTAGCGTCAGCTAGCTGGAGTCTTCTTACTTTAGCAAGTATTCCGGGGGCTGCTCAAGGACATCACGTGATTTTTCACGCGAAAGGGCCCCCCCCTGCCCCCTCCCCCATATATATCATTGTTATATATCATATATCATATATCATTGTTGCATCCTTGTTGGGACGAACAATGCCGCGACACGATGATGACAGTCCCTCCGCAACTCACCTCTTCTCTTCCTTCTTTCTCCTACCCCGCTAGCTTTCGTCATCCACCCCCGGCCTCAAGTATATATTTATACGTATATATCCCCATCGTCAGGGTTCCCCTTGTTTGGGATGGATGCCACGACTAACTGAAAGTCATCCAGACTTGCAGATGCTCCCAGCAGGTACATGGATCAGATTAAGCTTATCCATTCTACTTTTGGTTATTATATCATTGCATCAATTAGTACCATCCTGTGAATATATATATATATATGTATCATTTTATTTGGGTTTTTCCATTGGTTTTCCACATCTGTAGGTTTACTCTACGACCCTAGCTAAGGTAATTGGTTTCCATCACGTTGAACCCGTTGAAGGGGACGACTTCGCCTGACAATCGATCTGAGGTCACCAAATTTACCCTCTCCTTCAGCCCTGACGCTGGGCAGGGGTTACAGGGATTGTTGGGTTTGGCAGTTGCTCATACAGAATTGACCCACACATACATACACATATATAATATTATACATACAGAAACACACATCTATACATATATATATATACATATACATATATATATGTGTGTGTGTGTTTCTGTGTGTATAATATTATATATGTATAATGTATATATATATACATATATTCATGTGTCTATAATTGTTGATATAATATAGATTAAACTATATACTATATATGATGAGATGTAAAATATAAATTATATGATAATAGTTAACATTTAATGGCTTAACTACAATATTTGATATTTATTACATCATATACACTAGATAATGTATAATATTTCATATTTTGTACACAGTATGCAATATACATTATATCATACATAATATGTAATATTTTATATATGATATGTTTTGTTTAAAAATAATATGATATAACTTCATATAATATAACATAAGATCATACAATATGATATGATATAATTTCATATCATACAATATCATACAGTATAACATAATGTACTATAATACTTTATAATACAATATAATACATGATATATACATAATATATAATCTACAATATATAATATACAATATATAGTATTTAACATGTGATATTTAATATGCAATATACAATATGTAATTTGATTTGATACAATATAATACAATAAACAATAATTGAATGTGATTAAATGTAACTTGAGTAACTTAATGTAACTTGATACCACTTAATGTAACTTAATATAACTTGATATGACAAGTTAGTATTATATTGTATCGAATCTTATCATATCACATATATTGTGACATTGCGAGGCACCGTGCTGGGCCCCTCAGGATGGAAAGAGTTGGGCCCCAATGATGTCTGAGGGCGACAAGCCCAAGGTGCGCGGTCGCAGTCAATGAATGTTGTTCGCGAAGTGGCCCAGCTATAGTACAGGATGGGGCCCCCCAGTTATAAGTTGGTTTATAAACCATGATAATCCCCATTAACTATAGCTATATCTACCATAAACCATAGTTAAACCACTTATAAACCAACTTAGCTATCTTGGGGGCCCCATCTTGTAGTTGACGTGTTAAAACTCAGTTAAGGTGATTTCCCTCAGAGATGTCAGTATACCAGAGGGTCTGTCATCATTGAATGTGAAGCCACTTTGACTCATGGCTTGGTGGCTGAACCCGTTCCACTGTTTCTTATGGTAGTTCCTTTGGGCAGAACAGTCATCAACTATTGTTGAGTTTGGAACGGCAAGCCTTAAACCCACTTACTGATATGTATGCAATTACCCTCCAGTAAATGAACATAGACCCTGCCAGATGGGGGTTGAAAGACTAGTTTCCACTATAAATTGGTCATTTTCAGGGTCTATGTTAATTTACCAGAGGGTATCTCCAGTTCTAGATAGTTGTACTGTTACAAAATTTGATTCCGACTCTACGCATCTCTACGCATTCGTGGCTCCATGCATTTTCGTTTTTTGTGTTGTTCAGAGGAATCATGCCATGGATTCCGCTGGGCCAGCTATAGATGTTTCGCAATTTTTCGCCCGTCTAACCATAGATGTATCATGGTATCTCCACAATCCATCCTTGTTAAACAGTAGAATCCCATCCCCCATTCATGTTATCTCCACCCCCATTCTATGATCCCAAATATGAGATAGAAAACCCCTACATCCATTCCTGGTTGCTGGGGGGCCGAACAGGGGATGGGATAACTTGAATAGATTTACCCTTTGGTTATTTAACATAGCCATGGAAAATGGCCCATTTATAGATGATTTCCCCATTAAAACCTCCATTTATGAGGGATTTTCCATGGCTATGTTAAATAACCAGATGGTAATATGTATGATGATATATCCACCATACATCCTGGTTTTGCAGCCACATGAAAATTGACCAATAAATTTTGATAAGCCACATCAATTAATTCACCAGGATGTATGATTACAATTACTATTTAAAAAATCGTTAATAAACCAGATATATCCACCATATATTCATGGTATAATGCTAAGCCGGCCTTAAACCATTGACCTATCGTTTCTTTTCAGGTGCGGGTCTTTGAAGGTCCTGGTAACGGCCAGGAGGTGCGTCGGGAAACTCCAGTGTGATATACCCAACAATTAGGGATGTAATCAAGTGATATTAATTGGGATATTACCCCCTGGTAAATGAACATAGACCCTGAAAATAGCCTAGTTTTAATGGAAACTAAGCTTCCAACCCCGATGACTGCCAGGGTCGAACTGTTTATTTACCAGAGGATTGGAATATTGGGATATTAATATATTGGGTATTTGGAATATATGCCAGTTGGTTAGAGTGATATATTGGGATATTAATATATATATATATTAATTGGAATACTAGCGAAATCAAGTTCTAATAGAACCAACAACTATATGGATGTAAAATGATGGAACATGGCTAGCTGAAAAATCCCCGAAGAAAACAATGGAGGGTTTTGTTCTCTGGACAAATCATTGGACGAAAAAAAAAGGCGGGATTTTCTGGCAAGTCATGTTTGATTGCCGAAGGGTACCCTCTGGTAATTTGAGACATACATATATATATATATGTAATATATATATATATCATTATATATGTATAATATATTATTATATATAACTGTATATGTATAATTACATATATATATATACGTAGCTATGGTGAATGTTTAATAGGCAAGTCATTGATTTTTTTCGAGGGGATGTGGTATGGTCATCCATGGTGATCCAACATAGGTGATCAATCCAAAGGGACGTAGTTTGCTATTGAAAATGGCCATAGAAATAGTGAGTTTTCCCGTTAAAAATGGTGGATCTTTCCATCGTTTTTTGTATGTTTACCAGAGGGTAATGGCCAACATGAGGATTCCAAATAATGCTGGGATCACTAAAACCAATGATTATACCATGTTTGACCATGGCGCATGTGGAAACACGTTTGGTATATGGATAATCTAACCTTTTTTTCGGGGCTTGAAGGGTTATGAAGAAGTTACCAAATGAGCCACGGTGAAAGTCGCTGATTCTCCCGACAGAGGGGATGGTAATACCCCATTCATAGAGATAGAGGTTACATAAGGATTTTCCAGTGATGGTGGGATGACCATACTCTATATATCTCTATATTATATGTTTATACATGCTTCGACCATGGAAACATATAGGCTATTTGGATATATCGTCAGTAATCACGGGGTAGGGTCAATATTTCTCAGTTCTATGGATTCAATTGGCTTCTTAAGACCTATATTTCTTACTTTAATGGAATATATAGAATCCTTGAATCGTGAGATCCCTAAATTGTATAGTTGTGAAAGTTGTGAATGTCATATACATATATATATATATACATACATATATATAAGTACATATATATATATACATATATGTATACATATTCACTAAATCTCCCTTATATTTCATGTATCGTCAAAGTCGCGGCCATTGGCGGAAGATCGGCCGCGGTTCTGCAGCCATTGCTACTAGTTACCAGCTGCGGTGCACATGGTCCAGAGCCGTGGATGGGAATGCCATCTTGGTGAATTCTGGTACTTGAACTTGTTTGGATGCTAAACATATATTAACATATATTAACATATATTAACATATATTAGCATATATTAACATATATTAACATATAATAACATATATTAACATATATTAACATATATTAACATATATTAACATATATTAGCATATATTAACATATATTAACATATATTAACATATATTAGCATATATTAACATATATTAACATATATTAACATATATTAACATATATTAACATATATAAACATATATTAACATATATTACCATATATTAACATATATTAACATATATTAACATATATTAACATATATTAACATATATTAACATATATTAACATATATTAACATATATTAACATATATTAACATATATTAACATATATTAACATATATTACCATATATTACCATATATTAACATATATTAACATATATTAACATATATTAACATATATTAACATATATTAACATATATTAACATATATTAGCATATATTAACATATATTAACATATAATAACATATATTAACATATATTAACATATATTAACATATATTAACATATATTAACATATATTAACATATATTAACATATATTACCATATATTAACATATATTACCATATATTAACATATATTAACATATATTCACATATATTAACATATATCAACATATATTAACATATATTAACATATATATATATATATTATGATACAGTATTATGGTTACTGGAGTTGTATGAGTAAAACCATGTTGATGAGTATTAATGAGGAGATTCCCATTTGTTCCAGAAGTGGATGAAGGGAAAATTGAAACCGGTGGGGAAAACCATGGTTTCCTGCAAATTCCCAGAAACCAATCCGACGAATTTACGGATTCTGAGCTCAAGTTTTTTGAGTTGTGCAGGTGAAATACCTCTCCCTGTGGGTGTCTTGGCGAAAGTGAAAGCATCCATTTACAACGAGATCCGGTCCCATTTATGGTGTATGTAGTGGCTTCTGAAGACATAGTTCCTTATGGTGTGTAACCTACTTGGGGCACAAACTGCGCCTGGTGCCGTCACATGTGGTGTGCATCATCCCAGGGACCATCTCCCACGACCAAGTCGTTTTACTTCCCTTTGTTGGGACCTACAGTGATTATAGTTGGGATATTCGACATGTGCCGAAATTAGGCAAGTTGTCTGCTCCCTTTTGGTTGGATGAAGGCAGACTTGCGTATATTTGGAGACATCCCAATCTATAATGTGGTAAACCCAACAAGAAACCCCAAAAACTTTCAGACTGCAAGACTATGCGTATGGATTATTGATTGGTTTTGGCTTTACCACAGATATTGTTGATATTGATCATTCTTATTGATACCAGATTGGCCACAGACATTGGATACATTTGGTCACGATCTCATGTCGCGACGTCACTGGAATGATGATTTGTATATGGGGTGAACAAATCCAAAACGTCGGATTTTTTCAGGTTGGTGATTTTGTTAGATTGCTTTTTTAATTTATCATAATTTATCCAGAAACTTGCATGTATGATTATATTATTACATATTATTACATTTAATTGCCGCGATTGTTATCATAATCAACCTAGATAGATATTGAATTTGATCGTAATTGATAGTTATTGACAGTTCATGTATTGATACTTATACTATACTTATTGCCCAGATAATGATACTAATTGATACTTACTGTGGATGGTTGCGAAAACCTGCACCAGTTAATAGGTGGTTTTTCATCCCATTAGGCGTTCTAACATGCCAGGTGGTGCAGGATTTCGCAACCATCCACAGTACGTTGATATACTAATGATACACTGAGCCGTCCCATCAATGGGAATTTCAGGATCCTAAAATGGAGGTACGTTAGTACCATATTTCTGGCCATATTTTGGGGGGATATTCCCTTACATAGGCCTGAAAAATAGGCCTTATATATGGTAGGTCCAATTTATCGGTTCCTGGAATGGCCATTGATCCCAGGCCCCAATGCTGAAGCCAATCCGTTTCCTTCGACTCACTCCCACAGAATGGCACGCACATCCAGGTGCCGGGATGGCGGTGCCGGGAGTTGCTGTCAGATGGGTGGTGATTTAACCATCAGTTCTAGGGATTTTAACAATCAAGAATATGGATTCAAACCTGGAGTTATTAAGATTAATCCAGATTGATCATTTATCTCAGCTTACCGTTTTTTACTAACATAACTGTGGAAAATCACCGTTTTTAATGGGTAAATCAACGAACCATCAACGAACTAAATGGCTATGTTCAATAGCAAACTGGTAGTTTTTCTGAGAGGCTAATGATAAAGCAGCAACCAGATGACATATGGCTATGGATCAATACCTATTAATACCATTTTTAGTGGGATGAACATCCATTTACCGGCTATTTTGATGTTCACCAGCTATTGAAAATGACCATTAATAGTGGATTTTCCCATTAAAAATGGTGATTTTCCATAGCTATGTAAACGTTTACCAGAGGGTATGTCGCCTGAAAAGTTCTGACTGATCATCTCTGTAGGCCTGCGCTTGGAAGTCTTCGGCTTCACGGAGGGATGCACATCAGCTGCCCTGACAGAACCACAAGGCATGGCTGGCGATACCCAAACAAAGCGGAAAAATCTCCGCGAAACATACCCTCTGGTTATATAACATAGCCATGGTATAGATGGCCCATTTATAGATGGTTTACCTATTAATAGCATGGTGATTTTCCAGGGCGAACTGTTAAATAACCAGAGGGTAGGGAGATTCATCATCAAATATGGTGATGGATCCGATGGCCATGGGCCATATCCATCATATCCTAAGAAGTTCACCTGATGTTTCTATGGAGAAATCATCGAATCATCGCCTTTTTTGGGTAAACAAAAAGGGGGTTGATAGCCACCATTTTAATGGGCGTTGATTGACCAAGATGTGTTGGTGGTGGTGTTGTTGTTGTTGTCGTTGTTGTAGTTGTAAATATCGATCGAAACCGACCGGTGAAATCAATAATTGACCATACATGGATATACAAACTAGATCAGACTAGCCAGCAAAAATGCAGGGTACTCAAGATTGGACGTGCATACAAGCAAGTGGAGGTTTCCAAAAATAAGGTATCCCTAAATCATCCATGTTTATAGGATTCTCCGGATTGTCCATTCAAAGCCATCTATTTTGGAGTCTTGGACATCCCCCATTTACGGAAACCACCAGCCATAAACAACGATTGAATGTGACCCAAAGCCCTGTTGATTGGTTGTCCAAGGAACAGCTGGATCGATACTCAGAAATGCCATTGAAAAATGCCAGAATATAGTGATGATAAACCATGATTTTGGGGTGGTTCCCTGAATTCTCGAAAATGTAATTGTATATATTACATATCATGTATTATATAATTATATATATATTATTATATATATATTATATTATATATTATATATTATTTATTATTTATTATGTATTATATCTTATATATTATATTTTATATATTAGATATTATATATTATATATATTAAATTTTATATAGTAGATATTATATAGTAGATATTATATATTATATATATTAGATATTATATATTATATATTAGATACTAAATATTATATATTATATATTATATATTAGATATTATATATTATATATATCCTTGTTTCTTGGATGAGCATCCAAGAATTCGTCGCCAGGGCGGCTGGATGTGGTGCAGAAGCAAACCACCTTGATGCGGGTCCCTTGTGGGACAGGGGGCGGTTCCAAATGGTCATCCATGACGACTGGATGATTTGGGGTACCCCACTGACTTGGCAAACCCCCATCCGAGGCATTGAAAATACACTTCTTGCTTGGTGAACTAAGGCTACTAAGGAGTTATATGCCGCCTTATTGGGGAGCATGACGACCCATAAGAATGGGAAACCTATCAATGAGATGGGACAACAAATGAAGTTTTGGTTCATCCAACTTCACGGAGAAATTATGGAGAAATGCTGGGGAGGGATCTTGGTCCAATCATATATATATATATGAGCCAATCCCAGGTGAGAAATCAGTTTGCTTCAGGTTTCAATCAGAGGGGTTGGGATGATTTGTTGCCACATGGGCATTGATTTGGATGTTGCCCGAGAGATGCACTGGATTTTCTCCACCATTGGATCATTTCTGGAAGGGAAAACCCATAGATTTCCACAGTTGCTCATAGTTTTTCTATGGAGAGCAGCCCTGTTCACCGCCGATGGAGCTCAACCAGAGAAAAAGCAGAAGTCTTGGTGAATTCTGAGGATGTCCCACTGATTAAGTTGAAAAGCCACACCGACAATGGAGGAGATCCACATAGTTCCACTGGGTTACACCGAAGCCAAGACAGACCAGAGTGACCAGAGGTGTTTCTTTTTCACCGCTTGAATTTTGAAGGCGTTTGTTGCGTTCCATCATGTTCCATCGGAACATGTCGAGGTGTCTCCAACTTCGGTTGCATGATTAAAATCCCATAGGATCCATGTATGGTATATATGGTAACATTTACCATCAATATACCCCCAATGTTACTATACATACCATACATGGATCCTATGGGAATTGGGAAAGCCCGGCTGAAACTGTGAGGATCAACCGTCTAGAAACAGGTGACACGGGTGACCCTGGTCAATCCATTCATCTCTATTTCGGTAGATGGCTTCCCCTTGGACAATCATTACCCATCTACCGTACGAAAGTGGCGTACGTATCCGACGTATCGACTCCCCGATGGGTCGCGGTGGCAATCTCGAAAAATCTGAAAAATTAGTAGATGTCAATCCCACTTACCCTCTGGTAATTTAGTAATTTAACATAACTATGGAAAATCACCATTTTTCATAGGAAATTTCACTATAAATGGTGATTTTCCATAGTTATGTTAAATTACCAGAGGGTAACCCACATGGAATCATGTTTATTCGATTTTTTCCAGCACTTGAGAACAGCATTTGAATAGCTTTGTTCATAGCATTTCAAGAGCACTTTTATAGCATGTACAATTTCAATAGCCTTTCTACTACGGTATTTTTACAATGTGGGCCCCCTGGTTTTATAAACCCCATGAATGCTATAGTTATAAGTATCATAAACCATAGTTATTGGAGTTATGTTTATCAACTTAGCACCTAAGTAAATCCCAAAGTATATCCCATCAAAATCCCATTCGAATCCCATTAGAATCAGCATTTCTGCAGCATTTCCATAGCTTTACATCCCTTTTAAAGGCCCCTTTTTAAAGACCACCGGACCACCGCACGGATTCCTCCCGCAGCGCTGCCTGGCGGCGGCGAGCACCTGGGCGACAGAGAAGTGGCGACAGCTGCAGCGGGAAGAGGAGGAGAAGAGCTACTTGGAATCATTGGCTTTGCAATAGATGGTAGATATTATCTGAGACTATCTGTGATATACCCAACAATTAGGGATGTAATCAAGTGATATTAATTGGGATATTACCCCCTGGCAAATAAACATAGACCCTGAAAATAGCCCATTTTTAATGGAAACTAATCTTCCAACCTCGATGACTGCCAGGGTCTATGTTAATTTGCTGGAGGGTACTTGCAGCTCTATCTGAGACTATCTGATATAGATGGTAGATATATGTAGATATCTGATATAGATGGTAGATATCTGATATAATTAGATGGTAATAGATGATTATAGATGATTATAACTGATTACTTGCAGCTCTATCTGAGATGGTAGATGATGGTAGATGTAATCTAATTAGATGGTGATCTAATCATTATATGGTAGTATTCTAATATTACTATTTGATAACTATCTCTTCTATGTAGATAGTAAATGAGATCATTAGCCAATAGTATAATTAGATGGTAACATAATTATATGGTAGTATAATCAGATATAATAATGATTATAATTATATTATTACCATTAGACTTATTATATATACATATGCATATGGTAATAGATGGTAAATGATTCTATAATATAGATTACTCTCTACTTAGATAATGTCATACTGTAATTAGTGGTGTGTATATATATGGGAATAGAATGTAATAGATGGTAAATTGTTATATACTATCTATTTGTATCTACTCATATATAGTATATCTATTGCTACCTTACTATCTATACTACATATATTATATGAATATATAGTGGTATAGATAGTATGGTAAAGTGTAGTATAAAATGATAGATGGCAACACCTATGGATCCAAACACCTCCTGAGTACTTAAACACCCCAATCAATGGCGAAAGCACTAGCTAAGAAGGTACTTGGATCCATAGGGACTATATCAAATGTGCATAGTTCACATCATTGTGTATGTATATATATATATACATGTAATAGTCATAAATGTCATGCTGTAATTAGTGATATATACATATGTACGTGTAGTATAGACGGTATAGTATAGATGATATAGATGTTATGTAGAGTAATAGTTCATAATACTTACGAGATACAGTAGTGGTATATATATATATACATATTATAGTATAGATGGTATAGTTGTATTGCACAATAATAGGTGAATCATGTATTAATTTACCTCATATATCGTATAGTATAGCAATTACTAAAGTGGTAAATACACTTACATGTCTGTGTAATGATATTACATATAATATATAGATTGCTATAGTTCTTTTATGTTTGTCTATATATCACTATAATTATATATATATCACTGTATGTTACTATAGTGATATATAAAATTGATACGATATTGAATGGATGGGAATATACATAGGGTACACACAGTATCGACAATGTGACTATTCTCTTGCATCAGCCACAAACATATCACGCCTGCATCAGCTCTTTGGGTGATATATGTTTCTTCAATGACGTGGGTTTGGTATACCTATCAAAACAATGGCGGCAGAACCACCGACACGGATGGTTTGATAGAAGTTTGTGCTTCATGGTTTGGAAGGTGAAGTCGTCAAAAAGACACGAACTCGATCACCAACGAAAAGTCCGGGTAGAGATATCGAGCTGCCGAAAAAGGGGATATCCTTTGGCCAAAATCAACCGGGGAGCTCTGCACCAAGGTTTACAGGCTCTAGCTGCCAAGTCACAAGTGGAACAACAGCTTCAGGATGCGCTGAACCAGCATCCCAGCTGAAGAGTTTGTTGCTGGTGTTGATTTGTCCAGTTGCGGGTGTCCAGAAATGGTGGATGCACTTCCGATTTGTGCTTATTTTTGGTTGATGCATCGAGTTGCAAATCTTTAATAATATGTTAATTTGTGACAATTATATGTGATTTGGTTGCGGTAAATATGTTTGCCACATTCCAACGCGCACAGTATTTGTTCAAGCAGTATCCAAGCTTGAGCTGGTCCTGGTTGGTGATCAAAACATCCCCAGGTTTGATGATTACACTGGAGGAACGGTGTCGTCAAAGATAGCAGATAGCAATAGAATTCATTCCCAATAAAAATAGATGTGATAGTCTGATTAAAACGGTCATTTGCTGGGGTTTCCCATTTGCCATGTTTCATGTCTTCAGAATACACATGTTTCTGATGAAATTCCTGTTTGTCCTGATGAAATGAAAAAAAACTGCAGGATGTTGGGGGAGCCGAGGAGCAGAACATGAAAAATCAATCCGGAATCCCTATCCTTTGTGGTCATTCCATATCTTTTACTTTCAACTTTGATCCAAAATTGACTACTTCAGTAGTTATCATGTTGAGTCCTGCAAAAAGTGTTTCAAAACGTCACCTGGGACCGGTGTCAGGATCAAAAAGTTGAGAAAGGAGAACCAGGACATGGAGCACCAGCCGCTTGATGGCATAGCCTCCGGTGTCATCATGGCCTCGGAACTTCACGAAATAAATGGAGGTTTCGATGGGAAAATCCACTAAAAATGGCGGATTCTGCGTGGGTTGGGACCGAGGTCCCAATGTAGGTACCTGACACGGCTGATGTGCGACTTGAGACAAAAAGCTGTTTTGGAGGATGTTTTTCCAGGGGTAGCCATCCACACAGAAATAGAAATCAATAATAAATTGATGGTATATGTGTAATGGTAGTGGTTTCTATCAACTACTATATTCAACTACTACTATTACTACTGAAATAGTTGATATCAACTACTATATTCAATGGTTTCCGCCTTCCGCCCTAGTTTTTTGAGAGGGTCGATGTCCAAGGTGAGATGAAGATGGTTCGTATTACAGGATGGGTACAATGATTAATGCCTTTTGATAGCCACTTGATAGAGAATCAAGATCCAGCGTATGTATATATGTACATATATATATATATGTATATATATATACGCATTTTACATATATATATATATACATGTATAATTATACATATATATACATAACTATATATATACATATATGTATATATATATGTGTATGTATATGTATTCATTATTTAGGGGTGTTTGAGCTTAGAAATAACGCCACCCAGTCCTGAACAGCGATGAAGTCCTCGATTTCTGCAATGATCCAAGTGGTTAGTCCATCAGGGTCCCCATGGGTCCCCTGTCTCCAACTAGGAGCACACTCCCACAACAATACTGTCCCAGTTTCAATGACAAAAACTCGATTCCTGAGGATCACGGAACAAGAACAGAAACTGGTGGATGCAGACACGGAAGCTTGGCGCAATGGGTTTACCGTTTCGAAAATGGTGATTTCCCAGTTCGCAGACCGTTAAATCAAACGGGGATGGGTCAAAACCTATTATTACTATACTCAGGGAAATAAACATTCCATAACCAGCTAGGTTAGGGTACCTAGGGTGCCAGGACTTTGACTCATAGCCAAATAACCAGAGCATAATGGTGGGATGACCATCAACCATTCATCTGGTCATCACGACATCACGTCGCTTCACGTTGGAATGATGGGAATTGGATTGGGGTACCCCAAAAAATGCCGAACTATTCGGGTGAGGTGAGTAAATTGTAAGTTCTCCAGCCTATTTACCAGTAGGACCGCACAACGCGGTGGCGGAAGTTTCAGAATAGGAAACCTATAGGAGAGCTTGGTTGTTGTGAATCACGGATGGCAGAGCGAATCCACTGATGGACTGAAAGGTGGTTGGGGTTGTGTTTTTTGGAGTGGTTACAATGGTTGCAGTGGTCACCTGGTCGGTCACCTCACCCACAACTGCTGGATGTAGTGTGGTGTAGTGCAGCTGTAGTTGTAGTTGTGGTGTAGTGTAATTAGTGTAGTGTAGTTGCAGTTAATTGTGGTGGTGCAATGAGTAGTGTAGTGTCATGCAGGGTAGTATAGTGTAGTGTAGCCTAGTGTAGTGTAGTGTAAAGAAGCATAGTTGTAGCTGTAGCTGTAGTTGTAGTTTGTGTAGTGCAGTGCAGTGCAGTGTGGTGTAGTGTAGGAGTAGTGTACTGTGGTGTAGTATGGAATAGTGTGGTGTAGTGTAGTGTAGTGCAATGTAGTGCAGTTGTAACTGTGGTTGTGGTTGTGGTTGTAGTGTAGTGTAGCGTAGTGCAGTGTAGTGTAGTGTAGTGTAAGGTAATTAGTGTAGTGTAATGTAATCAGCGCAGTGTAGTGTAATGTAGTTGTAGTCGTAGTTGTAGTTAGTGTAGTGTAGTGTAGTGTAGTGTAGTGTAGTGTAGTGTGGTGTGGTGTGGTGTGGTGTGGTGTGGTGTGGTGTGGTGTAGTGTAGTGTAGTGTAGTGTAGTGCAGTGCAGTGCAGTGCAGTGCAGTGCAGTGCAGTGCAGTGTAGTGTAGTGTAGTGTAGTGTAAGGTAATTAGTGTAGTGTAGCGTAGTGTAAGGTAATTAGCGTAGTGTAATGTAGTGTAGTCGTCGTTGTAGTCTGTAGTTGTGGTTGTAATGTCGTGGAGTGGAGTGCAATGTAGTGTAGTGTAATGTAGTGTAGTGTAGTGTACTGCAGTGTCGTGTAGTGGTGGTTGTAGTTGAAAATTCTACAAAACCTTGACTTTTTGCTCAGTTTTGACAAGGTGCACAATCCCCTGTGCCTGCCACACAAAACGACATCTGAACGTCCAAAAGTGCTCCGTACCCGTCAGTTTTTGGCACTCTTGACTTGGAAATGTGCTTCGCGCCACAACAGCATGCACTTTTTCGACATCTCAACTTCCAAAAGTGGTCCAAAGCTGGTGTGTTTTGTACATTTTGACTTGGAAATGTGCTTCGTGCCACAACGGGGTGCACTTTTTCGACATCTCAACTCCCAAAAGTGGTCCGAGAATGGTGTGTTTTGTACATTTTGACTTGGAAACGTGCTTCGCGCCACAATGGCGTGCAACTTTTCATCTCTCATCTGGCCAGCTGGCTCCGCACCCGCCGCTTTAGCGAGCCTACTTTTCGACCCTCCGGAGCCCCAAATCATTGGAAAAACACAGTGTTTCGCGACTTTCCTACCTTTTCACGCATCTGCATCTTCTTTCTTCTTGCTCTTTCTCTTCTACTCTTCTTTCTTCTAATCTTTCTCTTCTCTCTGCCTCTTCCCTGCTCTGCTTTTCATCTGTCCATATTGTCGGAAGTTTGACTTCTAAACTTCCTTCGGCTAGTAATTATATACCCATGAATATCCCATGAATATCCGAAGCTCCCATGGACAATTTCCATTGGATCCGAATGGAATATGGCACAGTCGATAGCCCAACAAAACCTGGAATTCAACATTGGTGCTGTTGTGAGATCAACGTTGGTTCCCCAAAATTTTTCGTTTCTGCACACATGACCAACACACACACATATATATATATATATTCATATATGTGTGATGTATCAGATGTATAGTAGATAATACACTCATAACATGTAATGCCAACACCGGATTAATAACCCCGCCCAGAAGGTCAGAACTCTACCTTGTAGGTCCCCCCTTAAGCACCCCTTAATAAACGGCCTCTGAGCCATAAAATTTTGGATATGGCTTACGTCAATTGGCTGAAAGCTATGGGGGAAATTGGGAATGAATAGGCAAATCCAAAGAAAAAATATTAGGGACATGGCGGTTGATTAATCAGGGGCAAACCCTGATTATTATTAATGGGGGACATGGGCTCATGGGGGGTACCCTTTGGGAGCTATCCAAACTGATGATCTTTATAAAGCATTTAATTAGAAATCGATCATTTGGGGAATAGCTGTTTTTGAAATTTTCAATGATCAACTTATATAAACCTTAAGTATAACAATGATGATTTAAAAAATGGTTAAAAAAAAAATACTTTACTTCGTGTGATCCCCACCATGACATTTATACATTTTCTTACTGGCATTCTATCTGGCATTCTATCTGGCATATATTCTGACATATCTTCTGGCATATCTATCTGGCATATCTTCTGGCATATTTTCTGGCATTCTACCTGGCATATCTTCTGGCATTCTATCTGGCATATCTTCTGGCTATATTCTGACATATCTTCTGGCATTCTATCTGACATATCTTCTGGCATATATTCTGACATATCTTCTGGCATATCTTCTGGCATATCTTCTGGCATATCTTCTGACATATCTATCTGGCATATCTTCTGGCATATTTTCTGGCATTCTATCTGGCAAATCTTCTGGCATTCTATCTGGCATCTGGCATATTCTGGCATTCTATCTGGCATATCTTCTGGCATATCTTCTGACATTCTTTCTGACATTCTTTCTAACTTTCTTCTGCACATTCTTTGTCCCATATCTTCCTACATGAGGTCCGGCAGGGAACACTTGGCGTGGATACTCGCGGTTGAGGTCCGGCAGGGAACACTGGGCGTGGATGGTCGTGGTTGAGGTCCGGCAGGGAACACTGGGCGGGATGGTCGTGGTTGAGGTCCGGCAGGGAACACTGGGCGTGGATGGTCGTGGTTGAGGTCCGGCAGGGAACACTGGGCGAGGATGGTCGTGGTTGAGGTCCGGCAGGGAACACTGGGCGTGGATGGTCGTGGTTGAGGTCCGGCATAGAACACTGTGGATCGCGGGTCGCAGTTGAGCAAGGACGACGAGGACGACGAGGACGACGAGGAGGACGAGGAGGAGGAGGAGGAGAGGAGGACGAGGCAGGAGGAGGCGGAGGAGGAGGAGGAGAAGGAGGAGGAGAAGGAGGAGGAGGAGGAGGCAACTGACATAAAATCTAACAACCCTCACCTGGCAGGTGGGGAAAAAAAAGAAACAATTGGAAATAAATAGAATTAGAAATAAAAATTGTTGGATAAAAAAATGGATTTCAGCACAGGGGGTGCACAGGGGGTTGATTAATCGGGGGTAGGCCAAAGTGTTTATTAATCCGGGGGAACCACCTGTTTTTAAATTACATTTTGGGGGGGGGGCAGTGGAGGTTGATTAATGGGGAGGGTTTGATTAATCCTGACTTGACATTATATATATATATAGAAGCTGTTATTTAGAACAGTAAATGCATATACATATTTAAATATATATATATGTGTATATATCATCAACGCATTTGTTATACATAAACAACAGAGAATCACTGACAATCACATGTACATACTTGCTGTATATTGTATAATGGTAGATTATGTTGTGTCTATCTTACGTATCGTGTATGTGAATATATATATATATACATGATTATACATGTAACTTTGCAGATACACATTTATTGGCTTACAATGTGTGTGTATATATATATACGTATATATATTAGGTATTTCGATAGTGATTCATATTGTCATGATTACTATCCTTAATTGTTTTTAGAAATACACATTGTTTGTTGTACAAAACATATACTATATGCAGTTGCCATATTATAATATCATGGGTTTAATAAACCAAATTATACAAATTTTGCTAAAGCTTTTGATGAGGGCCGGCGCAGCAGTCAATACTCACTGGCACCTCCCCGTACAGCATTACAATTCTTCGATGATCTATGGTGCCTCTGTGGTGCGTGGTTCTTGCAAAACCATCCTGGAGTAGACAGAAAATATTTTAATTCCAATATTTAGATGGTTCAGATCTGGGGATGGGTGATATTGTGATATTCCATCCCTTCACAAAATGCTTCATGTATACTGTGACACCCTCATTTGTGAGGCTTTTGCCCGTCAGGATTCCTGAGCCACGATTGGTTCATACCTGGTGCGGTCCCGGTATGCGTATCTTCCCATGTGGTATAGTGTATACGTTCAAGTATATGGGTTTGTCTGAAAATCGGGCGCCTAAAAAAATCATCAGTCCTGGATCACCACTTTCTCTAGAAATTGTAATTTTTGGGTTTTGCTCCATGGGGAAAGCAGTATGATTCAATGTGACATGGAATGGGGAGTTTGTTCCATCCGGCATGTCAATCTCTTGCTAGACTCCGGCATCCCCCAGTGAAAAGTCATCGGTGAAGAGGAGTCGGTGGATGACACATGCACATGCCATAAGCGTGCGACTCACAACAAGACAGCCCAGAAAACTCAGTAGACAAACCTGGGTTTGAACATGTTTGAATATGCTTACAATACTTTGAAGTACAGCATTTGAGGTTCACCTTTTGCTGCTCAGATGATTCCAGACGCGAACAGATCTCCATTCCCGCTGTTGTTTTTTGGTTTGGATTGCCCTGTCCCATTTAAAACTGGTTTAATGCTACTCTGGTCTTCCTGAGAGACAGTGACCGAGATATATCATGCTGAAGGCCAAGAACAGAGCAATCAACCGCAGTACTGCGAGGGTCATTTACCGTCATTCATCACACTTGGGACTGAACACTGCCCACACCATCGGGATGATGTTTCTATATCTCTCCATGTATGTTGTTTTCCAGCTGCCTATGTAGATACTCCATTGTCCTCTGAATTTCCCACAGTAAATCCGCATAGTTTTTAATTCTGTTCTATAATATCTTTATTTTACCATAGTCATATCCCATCATATCCCATGGTTATTGGTGATGCTGTCCTCCCAAGTGCAGTTAAACTCAAGACCTACTGACAGCTCGAAGGAGAACGCCCAGGTGGTCGACGACAAGTCGGCGCACCATGTTGCAGCAATTTGTGAAGAGTAGCGCTGAGTAGCCCCCAGAAAGATTGAAAAAAAAGTTGCATTACAGTCACTACAGGTAGTGGGATTTTGCTTAGGGGTCGCTTAGCAGGGTAGACAGCCATTAACATGTGTCCCCCTTACAGCTGCGTTGTTTCATACGTCTTTTCGCCAATCTTTTAACAGTATCGCGTGGGGCACACACCGACGAAGCAAACGCTAAGGAGAAACTACGCCTGACCGTTGAACGGGAGAAGACGGAAGTTCAGGCCCAGGGCAAGATGAAGTAGCAGGCTATCAGATTTTTTGCATGGCTAAGAGGTTCAACTTTAAGGTTATTTTAAAGAATACCTGTTTGTCAGCAAATAGCCTTAAGGTTAAGAAAAGACGACCAAGCAGAAAATAGCACAACCTGATTTTAGAGCCTGTTCTGACCGCGGCCGGTGCCCCGCCCATGTTTTGTGTAGGGACATGTAGGGAGGTTTTCGGCGTGAAGTATGCCAAAACTAATGGTGAAGAAAAACATGATGTGCTGGGGGCGGTGGACCCATGCGAACCAATCCCAGATTTGAACTACAAGTAAGTTGATGTTACGTGTATGTTTGATAACCGTTTTTGTTTGCATATATATATATATATACTTATATACAGTTGTATGTGTATGTAAAAATATATATATTTACATACATGTGTATATATATATATGTTTTTGGTGACGGCGCCTCTAAGAGGCCGTGCGCGTACGTCATTTTTCCTGTCTCGTCTTTTACGGTTCGTTGGGGGGTGGGTGGGGTGGGGGGGTGGGGTGGGGGATGTTAACGTTCATGGGACTTGCACACTTACGTGATGCTACGCTACTGCACGTTCTCTTCAAGGTATACAACTACGTGATGCTACGCTACTGCACGTTCTCTTCAAGGTATACAACTACGTGATGCTACGCGTGACTGCTACTGCATGTTCTCTTCAAGGTATACAACTACGTGATGCTACGCTACTGCACGTTCTCTTCAAGTTATACAACTACGTGATGCTACGCTACTGCACGGTCCCTTCAAGGTATACAACTACGTGATGCTACTTTCACAAGCTCTTCTTTTGCACTTGCGCACTCTTGTCATGCTACGTTGCGGTCGCTGGGGGCTGTTGGGGGTGTGTTAGCAAGTTCTTTCTTTGATTTAAAGATATTTACCCAAGGTGTAGTTTTCTACATGCATCTAATGCTTAATTCCACACATATGTGTCACTTGAACATGGTTTCATTACAGGTTTCTCAGGTAAGTATGTTCATCATGCATTACGCAAATACCTTTGGCAGAAGAGTGCCGAAAAAAAAGCACTTGAAACTTCAGGCGCGCCGGCAAAGAGTTAAAAAAGTGATGAAAATGCTGCGAGGGGTTCCAAAAACGCATGTCCTCGGTCAGCCTTACAGTGTTTTATTCTCTAGATTCATGATGGACTTCAATCAGAATGTGCAAAAACCTTGGGTTTTTGGAGCAATTGATTTCATCGGTGCAAATGCAATGAGCATAAAAACACGGCCTCTTACAGGCGCCGTCACCATGTTTTTCTCTGTGTAAATACATGCCCAAGTGCGTGCTACCTTTGTATGCCAGAAAACAGCTGGGAATGTAAACTGCCAATGCCAGCACCAAAAGGTTCAAACGTTACCATTTGCTGTACACTGCACCTAGACGGTAGGGTATGCAACTAAGATCCAAACAGTTCAATGTTTCGTGAAAACACGTTCAACCCCATAGGTGTTGGTTGTCTATCTCATTGGGGGAAAGCAGTTCTGCCTTGGCTGTCGCAGGTGAAAGCTTTGGAAGACAAATTGACAAACAGCAGCAACATGGCGGCACCATAGCGGCCCCACTTGGAATGACTGAAAAATCACAACATTATATACATGACTCGCAACCCGTATAATACCCTTCCCGATCTACCAAAACAAAGTTATAAAACTTGGGCGCTGCTCTTCCATGGCACTGCCCCATGGAGTTTGTTGCGGTTCGAGGTGAAAATGTCCATGAAGCCACTGGCAAAGTCAGGGAGCTGGAGGTCAGCAGCTTGGGGAAGTGGAATCCAAATGGGCTGTGGCTGCGATCTACCACTGTTGGTTGATGATTAGTTCCGGGATTATACTATGTATGTATATATATATATAGTTATTTATTGTGTTTTATTTGTTTATTGGTTTATTGATTTATTTATTGATTTATTGTTTTTTATTTGTTGATTTATTGATTTATTTATTCATTTATTTAAACAATATATATATACTTATACATTTATATATGATGATGATGATGATGATGATGATGGTGATGATGATGACGACGATGATGATGATGGTGATGATGGTGATGATGGTGATGATGATGATGATGGTGATGATCATGATGATGATGATGACGACGATGATGATGATGATGGTGATGATGGTGATGATGGTGATGATGATGATGGTGATGATCATGATGATGATGATGATGATGTTTATCATACTCTACCATGGGAATCCAGTTCTTAACCACCCAGTACCACCCAGTACAATGGAATGACGGATGGTTTTTGAACACTGTTCCAATGGGTCTGAAAAAGGGTGGCTTCATCTAAGTGGTAGTTCAGAGCGGGCAGTTCGAAGCTAAATCGGAAGCCAAGGAGCTACTACCAGTTCTACCACTTTCCCATCGACATGATGCTAGTAGATTTGAATCGACAACAAATGTGGGTTTCACCACCAACAACAATGGGTATCATTGGGGATAGCAATCAATAAGATGAATGCACTGTTGACGATTGTTACACCATGTTATTAGGCTATACCCTATGCTAATCCAACAGTTTGCCATGGAAAATGGCCATGTTTCATCGGTAAATTATCTACGATCAAGTAGTTTTCCATGACTATGTTAAATACGAAAGGCGGTACAATATGGTATGCAAAACCAACAATGTAGATTCTATGATGTCCTTTTCCTACCATTTGTGTTGATTAATATTGAGTTGACTCCTTTTTCACAACATTTATGGTAGATGACTTGAACTCTCGAGTTGGTTGTAAATTCAATCTCAAACCTGACAACAGGCTTAGTTTGCCTGAATGGTTGGTTCATGACTTCAGTTTACAATGTTTATAGGTGTTTTGATGGGGAAATATCATTGATAAAAAAATCTGGTATTTTAAAATGGCCACTAAAACTAGCAGCTCCTACATCAGACTACGAAAGGGCCAGTTGACGCGTTGACTAGGAAACCCTCACCAGACACAGGATGAATTCCCAGATGCCCAGTTCCACCTATGAGTAGAAAAGATGGTTGGCCAGAACTGTTGAGATGAGAAAATATTTTGCACCATGCAATATATACAAACAATTCTATACACAAATATGTATAATATATACGTAAATATATATATATATGTACACATACACCTACTTATATTACATATACACATGCAGCATATGTTACACATTGTACTTGCTACTACAGGACCCCACGTTGTTGATGTCCTTTCAGATCATCGAGATGGTTATCCTTACAAGTTTTTTGTCGACAGGACAAAACCGAAGAGATGCAAAGCACTGTGCAGGCGTGGCGCGTCTCACCGATTTGTTCGTTACAATATTATACATATATGTGTACAGAGGACAATACATATATGTATATTATATCATCTCACAAATATGTACTTTGAGGATTTTGATGTGTAGCATTTGTCAGTGCTGCTCAAATTGGTGACATGTGCTGCTCAAAATCGATGGCCAATGGACAAATTCTGACAATTTTAGGTACTTGCCCAGAGCAATGTAGGCGTCAATGGGCGTCAATCATGAGCCAATGCCATTGCTCTGGACCACATCGCATTTTTTCAACATGTCACATTGGCGTCTACAGGACTTGCAGCAACAGCTGAGTGTGCTGACGGAAGAACGAGATTTGGCACGCGCAACTTGGCCATCATGAAATCATGGTTTTGTCCTTTTGGGGCATGTCATGGCGTCCCATATGCTCACACGGATGGCATATTTAATCATATTTATCAACATGTTCCAGCAATATCACCCAAATATAGGTAGATGTACCATACATGGACCATTTGGGTTTAGTAGATTATAAAATCGACACAATCAAACTCACATATGTATCCCGTTGGAAGTGGACATCTATTTGCACCGTAAGACTTTTGTGGTGTTACCGCGCAAGTTCGTACAAAGTGGGCCCCCGCAGTTATAGAAATTGTGTTTTTGTTGGTTTAGTTTTACTCATCCAACTTGTAGCATGTCATAATCTCATATAATCTCCACTATCGATCCTGGTTACCCTCTGGTAAACTAACATAGCTGTTGAAAATGACCATTTATAGTGTTATAGTGGATTTTCCTATTAAAAATGGTGATTTTCCATAGTTATGTTAGTTTACCAGAGGGTATCCCTTCTAGCTGAGGGATTATAAATCAGCAGAAACTGATTACGGTCCTTGCGGTCCCAACACCAAGCACCAGCAGGTCTGAATTGCTCGGTCGGTCGTGGATTTTTTCCGAGGATTCAGAGGAAGAACTGTGGGAACTTCTCAATGAGAAGGCCTGGATGGGGCTAAGGCCTGGATCCTTGGAATCCTTAGTTTCAGTCTGACATGAAGCGATAATATCCCATATATATCCATATATCCCATGATTGGATGGCTCATGATTGATAAGATTTAGATGATATTAGATGTCTCTCTTAAACTTCCTTCTCAGGGTCTTTACTACCGTTTAAGTAAGCAAATGATTGGGAAGTGAGTCATGACTATGGGTGAATATATACTGACCCATCGGTGTACAAACAATAGAAGGACTAGCTGACTGTACTTTTATATGTCCAGTAGATGGCGACATACTGGTAGCAGCTCGTAGCCCTGATCAGAGACATTGTAGCAGAAGTGTGCCCCAAAAAGACGGAACAGATCTACCACCCGTCCTGCCGTTTTGGAAGTCCTGGCCATGGCCATGAAATAAAGGGAACTATGACTTATGATATTCCCACGATTGTTAGACCCATTTATATACTGTATTATATATGGAATATCATGCAATATCCAATCGCAGAACTGTGCTGCAAAGCTCATATGGGGATGTCAAAACCTATGATTACCACATTTGTGGAATAGACATCCACAATTTCCAGTCATTTTAGGGTACCTATTGTACTCTAGGTACCTAGGGTGCCAGGGTTTGACCCATAAGCAGATGACTCATATGATTCATATGCATTTTCAGCATCAAACCTTGCCACTGATTCCATAGATTTGTGAAAAAGACAAACAATCTACTATGGACTCCTACTGGTTTTCCGATATGTTCTATGGGTTTTCCCATATTTTCCCATACTTTCCCATGAAATATGGGAGGCTTCCTGTTTCTATCTTCCACGAAAGCCAATCCGCCAATCCGTCAGGAAGATCAGTTGATGGACACCAATCAAGGTGGGGAAATCAGGGATGGCACTACTCCGACCCAAAAAATGATGGAAATCCATTGCTTTCCTGTTTAGATATGGAAAATCAAGTACACATATACGATAGAAAATCATGGAAAATGAGTGAGTCATGATGGATGTTCAATATCAATGTTATAGTTTGCTGGAGGGTCGAATATGAGTACCATTGTTAAACACACAAGTTACAAGACAGACAATTTTTGAAGATCTTCAAGTGCAGCATCAGATACCCAGATGTTTCCTGGGTAAGCTGCCATGTATGTACATCTGGTTGGTGGTTTGGAACATGTTCTATTTTTCCAATATATTGGGAACAATAATCCCAACTGGCGAACTCATATTTTTCAGAGGGGTAGGCTCAACCACCAACCAGATATCCAAAATTTGTTGCTGACATGTTTGTTGAGTCCTAATCCTAAGCTTCTGCAACCTCTCCCAGGTCACAACTGCAGACGTTTTTTCACTGTGGCAACCAACTGGTGACGATGAATTGATGTCAACAATTTCCAGCTGGTTTCAACCCTTATTATTAGCTGGTTGTATTGAATCCACGTGCAGAAACCTACACTATGAATGTATAGTATGTGTTTTTCCTGGGTTTTATGGATATTTCGCATTTTTAACATCCTTTCACCATATAGCATGGACTTATTTTCTCCCCTGCGGCTTTCACATGTTGCAAACTGTTCCCCTCTCATCAGGATATGTGAATCTGACGGACCAGTTAAACGAAATGAGAGAAGAACTGGAAGAGAAGATCGACGAGCAGGTGACTTGAGAGTTTTGTTGTTTCCGAGTTTGAAGTTTCAGTGATTGGAACACTAATGTGGAAAATATATGTTTATAGGTGATTGGGCTTCATCGTTACATGGAGTGAAAAAATGAGATCGTTAGACAAGAAGCACCAGTTTCCAAGCATTGCCCCATTCAGCTGATTGATGAGCTGGTTTAGTACCCTCTGGTAAACGTTTACATAACTATGGAAAGATCCACCATTTTTCATGGGTAAATCCACTATTTCTATGGCCATGTTCAATAGCTATTTTGACATAACCAGAGGGTATCAGACTTGACAAGAATCTCTGGGTCCGCAATGTTCAACTCCTACGGTAGGTCGATGTGGGCCTTTAAGGTGGCCAAGAGCCATGGGGCCATGGGGTGGTTTCACATGCACCTGGCATTGGGTCATCCCTGGAATGACCCTGGAATGACAAGCCCAGTTGACAAGCCTGAGTACTACTGACTCTTTGGATGGTTTATGATGGTTTGAAGCTCCAGATATATATATATATAGGTCAATCCTTTGTTCAAAACAGTTTTTTTTGCGATCTAACGTGATTTAACCATGAATCGCTTTGTTGAAGTCTGGTTCCAGGTGTAAAAGTTCTATCGGAAAGCAACCCGACCAATCGGATGATGTTTTGTTTCGCTATCACCTATACATATGATTCATGGTTATATTCCATATATTTCCATGTGAATTCTACATATATATATATATATACATACATATATTCATATAATATCTATATAGATGATATATACATAGGTTACCTAGGTTGATACGCGTTCCCTTTCCTTCACATGATTTCGGAAGGCGCAGCTCATGGAGGAATTGGGGGAGCGAAATCAGCTGTCACTTGGTCAGACCGGAAAAACTATAGAAAAGAATAGAAAAAGGAGAACAGCATAGGATGAAATCATGTTGAAGATCATTGAAGATCTGGAGTTTGATGGTATGACAGCATTTGATAGGCAAGATGCTCGGGTTTATCATCGTTTTTCAGATTTGCGAGGGTAAAGACCTATCAGGATTGTCAGGATGATGACATCGGTAGAAATCCGGTGCGTGTGGTTGCGGGTCGCCATCTGTAATTCGTGTCCGTTCTGGTCAAAAAAGGTGGACTTTTGGAGTGAAAATTATTAGTAGGAATGACTCTTTACAAAGCCACGTGTTTCTGAAAAAGATGATTGTAGCCAAGTGTAGCCATTGTAGCCTTCCATTCGTATCAGCCCTGTCTTTTCTTTCAAATCTCTGACGAGCTTACTGAGGCTCATGGACGAGACGATGAAGTTGAGAGAAGAATTGGCACTTTGGAGATGGAGTTGGGGAGATGACCACCTTTTGTATCTATTGAAATCGACATAACCCCCATCCAAAACCTCTTCTGGTTGGTGGTTTGGAGCATGTTTTTTTCCATATATTGGAAAGAATAATCCCAACTGACGAACTCATATTTTTCAGAGGGGTAGGCTCAACCACCAACCAGTCATGTTAAAAAAAACTGGTAAAAGGTGGTTTGCAGTGGACACAGCGGGGTGGTGATCCAGATCCCAATTTCTTCATTGCAGAACCGGCGGAACCCCACTGGAAAAAAATCACGACATCTCCATTTTATTGCTTATGAAATCCCCAAATTTATCATCTTTGGCCAGATCCGCTTGTTGAGTTTGCTTCTCCCAGCTGGGATCCATTTGGGAAGGATTTTCTCCAAGGCCAAGTATCGGCAAGCACCAGCTGTGGCTCATGTGGATGTGCCAAATTTGTTTCTTGGACCCCGAAACTCGAAACGGTCAAAATGTGTGGGACCTCGGAAGCGATCATGTGTAGCCTTGTTTGGTCATTGGGATATGTGTTCCATGGGAATGTCAGGATCCTAAAATGGAGGTACTGTACTATATAAGGGCATATCTTCTAGGGATATTCCCTTACATAGGCCTGAAAAATAGGCCTTAGATATGGTAGGTACCTCCAATTTAGGTTCCTGAAATGGCCATTGATGTGTTGATACCAGAAACTCCTCGGTGGGTGTTGGTCTCTCATGCGTGTCTTCTTTTCTTTGGGTATACACCATCCCCCTCTTATGACTGGACCGCCTTCTACATCACCTATACGAGGGGTTATTAAGATGGATGGCGAAATCATTGAAGTCATTGATGGTTGATATGGAAACCAATGGGGAGAAAAAGAGGTACCCCCCTTTTTTTGAGAAGCATGAAAATGGAGCAATCATGAGCAATCCAGCACCAGCAGTGTTTTCGTGAATTCCATACCACATTCACTGCAGGTGTCGACCCCGAAAATGGAGTGACATGCGGTTCATGTTTTGGGGTATACTTAAAAGTGAGATGGTTTACTACTTCAACTAACATGAACGGAACTTGGAAAACTAAACAACAACTTGCATAACATCAACTTAGATAACAAACTCCAACTGACTGAGATACTCTCAAACATAATCGATCCACATTCCCTAAGCAATCCCAGTTAAGTGGTCCGTAAGTTTGGAGCCATCAGGTTAGCCATCCATCCCCACGGTTCGCCACGGTTCGCCCAGGTTGTCCTCAATTGCCGCCACGGGCAAAGCCGTTCAGGGCCTGCCATCCGATGGCACTGAGGAGTCAACTGCCTAGGGTTTTTTTTGGTGGGTTCCCCTCCACGGTCCCGGCGGCTCCATATGTTGGAAACGGATAGGGACACCAGGGAGTTGATGCAGGCAGGTTTGGTGGTGAAGAAAGGAAACAGCTAGTGGTTGGTTTATACCAACTTAATTCCATGTTATAACTCTGATAACTATAGGACTTTGGGATACTTTTGGTAGAGTAATATCTATACCATTTTATAACTCTCATAACTAGGTAACTAGGACTTTTGGTACATAAATCTATGGTTGATGGGGTTATAAATCAACTTATAACATCTTATAACTGGGCCTGTAACTCTCTGGGGATCAGATAAAATGCTGGGTTTGCCGCTCAATCAAGGGATCAAGGGGTTATGTTTTTTTGTAGAAAGAAATGAGCCCCTGTTGAAATGGAATCACAATGGATTTAACATGATTTAACATGAGTATCCGTCCGTGAAAATCGTAGAGTCAATGAGATTCAGATAGGATACTTTAGGTTGGCCCTACAGTCAGTACTGCGGCTACTCACATCAATCATTGCTAGCAAGTCCAACTCTGTCAAGTGGATCCTGTGGGTCTCCGCAGGATCCACTGTGATCCGGTAATGAAACATGGCAACGGGAAATCTCAATGTTGAATGGGGGAAAAAAGGAACACCCATCTGAAGATCAATCTACAAAAGCGGGGAAACTACTTTAGATTGCCAGATGGTAGTTGTGGAGAAACCATCTCGTGGACACTGGTGACAAACGCATGGAGCGGCTGTGAGACGCAATTTGCCAACGACACTTGACGTCAGAATCGTGTGCAAGCGAGCTGTTGAATATGTTTGTTGGACACAAAACAGCACGCTTCATGGACACTTCGGATAAATTATTCATTGTCTTTTCGAGGAACGCACTGTATATCCCAAGATTTAAGACTCGAGTGAAGAACATCATTTTCTACAAGAAAACTTCTTCAGAGTGATTGATCAAAGAGTGAACGAACTACCCAACGTCAAAAGTCTTCTTGTCTAGTGTAAGCCTTGGTTTGCTAGGTCAATGGTTTGATGTTTAGCAGTGAATAAGAAGGAATCTTTTATATTATGTTTGATATCCCACCAAAGTTACTACAGGTGTATCTTTGTGATATTTGGATATTGTCCATGTGTATCCATGTGTAATAACCTGTAAATCTTTGATATGCCACCCTATTATATATAGTGTCAATGATTGACTGTGTGATTTTTGGATATTTTGGGATATTTCTTTCCACCCGATACTGCCATACTGAAATGGTTCAACACCCCATAGATTCCCATGCTGGGTTGGTTCAACACCGCTTGTGCACCAGCTGCGGTTCTCAAAGGGCTGCCCTAAGGGCAGCAACCGCGGCAAAACCATCCAGCTTTGGCTGACATTATTTAAAGTGTGGATGATGAATTTTCATGTTTCCAAAACCGGCAAACTCAGACAATTCCACTTGTATCATCTATGCTTCAGGTTCTTTCACTTGGTTTACCGAGTCTTAAACCTCTGTGTTAATTGCACTGTTGTTGTTCGTCCTTCCACGAGTGATAGGACCGAACGGTCGCGTTTTTATTTGGGTTGTGTCCCATTTTAAGCCTACAAGAGGCGGTGCATATGCGGATTGTGAAGCAAGATCCTTGCAATCGCCAGTCCATGTCCAGAGTTACGTTCAATGTCTATCAATTTCTGAAGGTTGGTTATGTGCCCAATATATATAATATATAATGCATAAATACATACGTATATATAATGTATAATAATAAAATGTATAAATATATACACATAATGTAATATATATATATATACACATTATAAGTATACATATAATATATATATATATACACACATAATTAAATATATATACATAATTATAATTAATTATATATATATATACACATAATATAATATGTGTGTATGTATATATATATATATGCCCCGATTTTGGTTCTGGAACAGGCTTCATTTATGCCATTATTTTTTTCTTAAAGCACGTGCAGTACAGATACTCCAGGTTGGCAATATCATTTCCCGATGGACGGTTGAAACCACCCAACAAAAACCTATCAACTGGGGGCGGACATGACCTTCATTGTTTGACATCCTATGATTTTTGCCATGGATATTGACCCTTTCTATTGCCAAATATGGATTGATATAATATGTCCATATATATTTTTTTTCCCGAAGCGATAGTCAAACACATGCTGGATGTGCTTCCTATGTCCGACTTACATGCACATTGCCGGGGTCGGGTCACAGGTGGGTGGTCCGTCTGCCCACCTTGACGCGGTTGCCACGTGTTTACGCCGGCACCTCTTTTGATAGGCGCTGGCGCCGGAAATTTCGGGTGGTGAAGGGTGGATGCAAAACTGACAGACACTGTTTCTTAATGTTTCTTATCCTTGTGTGTTTTTATCACATTTGGAGACATTGGGCTACTTTATGCTTTGTGGGTCACTTTCCGTCCCTACAATGATGAGCCGTTCAGCCGTAGTGCAGCACATCTTGTTGTCACTTTGGGATAGGCTTTTTGGGATTCCATGACAGGCCAGGGTGTTTGACTCCAATGGAATAGCCCTGCCATGAGTTGGATCGTCCCAACAGCAATGATCAGCAGCATTGATATATTATGTACCTACATTGATTACAGTATGTATCTATGTATCTATTGAATATCATTGATATATGACCAGATCTATCTTTTTTTGGTACTGATTCTGGTTTTGAGGTAGCTATTCAGGTTCAAATCAGATATTTCGTGAAATTAGTCGTTGATATGTATATTATATATCTAATATAACCCATAGGATCCATGTATGCTAAATATGGTAACATGGATCCCATCAATATACCCCAGTCATGTTAGCATATATACCAGCACCATGGATCCTATGGGTAATGATTGTACCTACTATGGGAGATTCAACATGGACCCGAAAAATAATGACCACCTACTAGTGAGTACTGTACTAGTGGGTCTCTTGACTAAGAATGGACAGCTTGCTGGTCTCATGTTCATACTGTTTGGCATAGCTACAACCTTAAGCAGCAAGGGATGCTTTTCAACCAGAGCTGTTTGGCATGGAGATTTCCCAAGCCATTTGCATCCTCTATTCTCATGTCGCGGTCACCAGAACCGCGACCCTGCCAAGCAGGGCAATGTGTGCGGATCGGGAAAAAAGGGAGTTTCACCAACCAATGTGGTACTGTATTCCTGACTTCACGGACGTTCATGTTTTGCATGGTATTGATGGTATTGTCATAATATGGGGTGGTTGATGTATGCATGCACAGTTTAGCGTATACAGTACAGCCATCACATCTCACAACTGCTAAAGGTTCTGTCCTCTTGGTCGGGGGTTTCGAATCTACAAACCCATATTCACCATTCTTAAACAATTGCTCTAATTCCACAATTGTTTTGAACAGACATGATGTAGAAAATCCAATGTTCTTGGAATGTTTTTTCAGCATGCTACTGTATAGTTTGAAACTTACAGAAAGTTTCGATTATCAAAACATCCAAACCAAACCAAAGTCATTCCATATGATTTCCAGGAAATCTTTGTTGCTCTTATATATATATATACATATATATGTAATATTATATCTATATATATATAATAGTCTATATACAAATATCCAAACCAAGCCATGTAGGTTTCCGTAGGTTTCCATCACACATCCATCGTTTTCGGCCAAGGCCAACGGAGGATCCTTAGACTCCTCGCACATCGAGGGCTTCCGTCTGAATGAGGCGGCCATGGGGGCAATTTTGTCCATTTTTTTCGGAGCCGTGACGAAGAAAAAACACAATATTCTTGGAATACCATGGAAAAATGTGTTGTTACAATGTGATATTATCTGATATGTGTAATTTTGTTATGGTCGTCTTTATACGGGGAACTATCCCAAACATCTTGCTCATTCCAATGTGTACACTTCTAGTTTAATGAAAAACAAGTATTCGGTACACATCTAGTTGAATGAAAAGCAAGTATTCGGCCCAATATTTAAGCCCCGATCCATACCCCTTCTGAAGGGATAGAGTTCATTTGAGATTATTTGCGTAACTCCTTCGTTCCATATGGATCACCAAGACACGATCCAGCAGAAAGGTGGTGATAGGTTTGTGGTCGCTGCGAGCTAAAGAACCATTTGCACATTAAATGGACATGGTCAAGAGTACCCACCCAACAAAAAGACTTAAGACACTATAAGACACTGATGTCTTACATTCAAAATATCTCAAAATAACATGAACTAGCCATGAAATCGCCATGTGTTGCAGTTTGTTGCTCTCCTAACCACTGGTTTTTCGGCCAGGTGATGAACGAATGGTACTATTCCAATGCCGACCCGGCAGATGCCACACAAGAGGTCCGCAACGGCGGAGCGCGACTCCCGGTCCGGGATGCCCAGGGGTTTCAGCTGTCGGCTGTGGTCCAATTGTTTAGGGGTTTTTGCAGGTCAAATCAACAAAAATTGCTGGAAAATCTATGAAAATCTTCAGTTTGACTTTTCCAATCAACTCAGATTTTTGGCTGAGAAATCTCCATGTTTTGGTTGAAATCTCCATATCTTTGCTGAACTCCCGGACGGAAAAGACCCGGTTGCCGACGCAAGGCCTTCTCTCTTCGCTTGCGATCGCCCACCACCTTGGTTCGGGGCTTGGTTCGGGGCGCATTGCTGGAGCTAAAGGAGTTAAGGGAGTGATGAATGTGTTTGGAGCTGTGGAATTTGTAAATGAACCTATGGATAAGGATACCTATGGTATCCTAGTTGAAATATATCGACCCCTGAGCCCCACCATGTATAGCATGTGCAGGTAGGTCTAGTAGAGGTATGCCTTAGCTATGAGTCCATCATGCCCAAAGTAGATATCCCCGATATGTACAGCCACAGCACTACCTATGTAGAAGCGTTACATAGGTAGGGTAGCCACTAATTAGAGTAGAGTGTAATTCCATCCTAACAATAACCTGGGTGGGTCATT